CCATCATTGTCGCGATCCCCAAAAAAGGCAATAGTATGAAACTTAACAACCTGCGTGGACTGAGCCTTTTGTCAGTTCATGCAAAACTCTTCAATCGTGTGCTACTGATCCGCCTTCACGAGCGGCTAGAAACGCTCATTCTACCACTGCAGGCTGGTTTCCGACCTAATCGTAACACCGTGGAACAAATCGCATGCCTCCGAATAGCAATTGATGCGTGTCGCTCCAGAAAGCGGAGTCTAGTGGTAACCTTTGTTGACTTCTGCAAGGCTTTTGACTGTGTCGATCGCGGGGCACTCAGAGATATTCTGGCATTCTATGGGATACCCACATCTTTCATCAATGCAATAATGTCACTCTACACCAACACAGCCGCATGTGTACGCACATCTTCGGGATGCACTGACGAATTCAAAACAACATCTGGTGTACTTCAAGGTGATACTTTGGCACCATATCTTTTCATCATCGTCATGGATTACATCCTGCGCACATCACTTACCCTTGTGGATGGCTACACTGTGAGAAGACGCTTGTTGGCGCGATGGACAGCCGTAAAAATTCCTGCACTCGCATATGCCGATGACGCTGCGCTGATGTCTGATGACGTGGATACAGCTCAACGCCAACTGCTTCGCTTTGAGGCAGCATCAGCCAAAGTTGGTTTGCGCCTGAATGCCACCAAGACAAAAGTCATGTATGTTGGAGACGTTCCGCAGACTATCATCAGCACAACGGATGGCATCCCTCTTGAAGCATGCGACGACTTCTGCTACCTAGGATGCAATGTGGCAGATAGCAGAAGTGCCATCCAGTGCCGACAACAGCTTGCATGGGTCGCAGCACGAAAACTCACTCCTGTGTGGGATGGGGTAGCTAGTGACAATGCCAAAATGCAGCTATTCCATTCCACAGTAGAGTCAGTGCTCCTGTACAGCTGTGATGTCCTAGCGATCACCGAAACCATGGCCAGGCATCTAGATGCTTCACACCGTGCTCTCATCCGTTTTTGTCTTGGTGTCCACTATCCAGAACGACTTTCCAACGACAGTCTGTACGCTCGAACTTCCGCAGCACCAGCCACAACCACCCTGCTGATACGTCGCCTTCGCCTCCTTGGTCATGCACTGCGAAGACCTCAGGTGCCTCTGGCCATCTTCATGAACCCACAAAACCAACCATCAGAACCCTTTCGACAGGGCGGGGGACTACGTCACACCTACATGGCACAAATCATTGACGACCTAAATGCCATCGGCCTCAGTCATGGTCAGGCTGCTCGAGCTGCCCAGGATCGGGCTGGATGGCAAAGACGACTTTCGAGCATTGGAAAAGCCACCGGTCACAACGCCTCGAGCCGACTTCGACTCCAGTAGCGTCAACTCAACGAACCATGAAAGCCGATTTTTGTTTCGCCTCCTCATCCAGTTCTATCTACCAATAACCGGAGGCGAGGTCTAGGGTAGAAAACCACCTCGCTCCGGTTAGTGCATCAAGTGTGTCGTCTATGCGGGGAACCGGGTAAGCATCTTTTACTGTCACTGGGTTGAGTTTCCTATAGTCCACACAAAAGCGGCGGCTGTCCCAGTCGTTCTCCAAGAAGACATCAGCGAAATCAGTGAGGAGGCTGGCTACCGCCTCGTGATGTTGGGGTTGTAAGTCACCTGTGCTTCACTTCCACAGATCCAGGAGATGAGGGGGAACACTAACGGACTGTGCGCCTCCTGCCGATGAGGCTTCAAGTGGCGCTTCATCTACATCTTCCTCTTGAACCTGTGAGAGGCGACCTGCCATGGTCCCGCTCCGAAGAAGGCATTCCCTTTGTCCGGGGTTGAGAACACGCAAGGCCATAGTTTCCTCCTTCCCCGTCTTCACAAGCGTCCTTGCCAGAATTAATCCCTTATTTGCCTGCTCCTCATTATCCGCCACTGATTCGATGATTCCCAGTTTGTCAGCCTCCAATGTGTGAGTGGACTAGTGCCTCATGGCCAGGAGGTATTACGGTATCTTCCGCTTCAACCACCCGGGCGCAAAATGGTGTTCCCCAACGGGTGGTACACTGAAAGTGTTCCCCGTTGAGAATTAGTTCCCACCGTTTGAAGTCCAGCATGCCTCCAGTCGGTAGCAGGAAATCCATGCCAAGAACTCCCTGTGCGCTCACTTTAGCAAAAACTGCTCTAACCTGGCTGGTATAGTCTTCCCGATTTTTAAGTCTACATTGGCCACACCTAACGTTTCCATAACTGTCCCATCGGCCTGATACACTTTGATGCCATCTTGCACCAGCTGGGGGCACGTCTCAGGAGACATCCTGTAGTATACCTCGTCCGATATAATGGCTGATGTTTTGTTGATTTTTCATGTGCGGGGCCCAGGTCCGATTCATTATCAAGCTGGGATCCTAAACCACGTGGTAGCTGACCATAGCTCCTCCTTCATTGAAAGGCTGACGTTTTGTTCATTTTTCATGTACGGGGCCCTGGTCCGATTCATTATCAAGCGTGGGATCCAAAACCAAGTGGTAGCTCCTCCTCTCTTGAAAGGCTGACGTTTTGTTCATTTTTCATGTGCGGGGGCCCTGGTCCGATTCATTATCAAGCTGGGATCCTAAATCACGTGGTAGTTCTTCCTTGAAAGGCTGACGTTTTGTTCATTTTTCATGTGCGGGGCCCTGGTCCGATTCATCATCAAGTATGGGGATTTTTTTTTTCTATTTCACAATGTACATGTTTGTAAAATAAAATACGATGTTTTGTTTTATGTAATATAATTGATATATGGTGATTCAAACAATATTTTATTTGTTATAAATCTGTTTCGACTTTATTTTAAACAACAATCATGTAACCGTATTAAATAAATTTAAAACTCTCCTTAACGAAAATGGAAGTATCTTACTATGTACTAAGTGTCACGTGATCGTGACTGACTGCGTCTTCTGAATCTTCTCATGCATTATGCATCTCAGCGGGGCCATTTTGTTTATGTGAACAACTCAGTGATCTCTAGAAATCATCTGAAACCACAACCCTGGAAAGACACAAAGTGCGACGCACTGTGCATGCAGTTCATTCATGTACAAAACATGTTGCTGGCACACCGGATGCGTGCGGCATGCCTCACACAATCCGTCTAAATTCTTGTTCTAAAAGTGTTAATTATTCAAGAATGGATTTGTAGAATTAATTGCAATTGATGATCAAGGAATTATTTGACTAATAACAACCACTTCATGTTACAAAAGTGCTAGGAAAGTGCGTCATAATTCATAATACGTAAAAAAAAAAAATGAAACTCCACCGACTACATGTAGTTTGTGGAGAAATGCTGTGTGGAGCCAGCGTGTGGTAAGCCTAGTGTGTGGGTATCCTTTTGTGTTATGCAAACGCAGATCCACGACGCCTTATCAGTGGTTTTAATGGATAAATAAACAATGCAATTAGTCGTGACTAGTCGACTATAGTCGCGACTATTTATTGATGGTCGCCGCGACTATTGAAATTTGATAGTCGCCCAGGCTTAGTGTCAAAAATATCCGTTGTCTCAAGCTAAAATATCGTATGATGATCTCATTCGCTTAAAAGTTCTTTTATCGAAATATCATGTGGGATAACAAAAAGTTCAACGCATTGAACATGTTTCTGAATAAATAATCTTCCTGAACTTACTTTATCTTTTCATTTAATAAAACACAAACATTTAACGAGCCACCACAAACCTATTAATTTTTTTCTTAAAACGACTTTAAAAAATGAGGTACAACTTTTTTCACTGCCACGATCGACGCTGTGAAGGTTTGTGGTAATAGCTTTTTTACTCTAGAATCCTTATAAAAAAAACTTTTATTTCACTCATTTTATAAAAACTGTTTGCAAGGCATTTATCATTTCAAAATTATATTTGAAATATCAAGCAGTCTTTTTCATTTACATGTAGATTGGCACTGTGTACTGTTTTCATACATAACAGTTTTAATTTGAACAGAAATTCAGGAGAAAATGTGACATTCTTACCAGCTTTGGCAGTGGAAGATATGCAAACTGTTACGTTCCCTAATTTTCAGCCCGTGGTTTTGGATGTACATTCTAGTATTACCCCAATAGAGCAAGAGTTCCATATCTGGCCACTACACATTCACTGCCAAACATGTCACCTTGCCTTGTTCATTGAAGACACATTTTCAAACTTGCTTAAGGAAAACTGAACTCATCGGGGGAAAGGTTGTTTTTAGGCCATATTTTGGATACACGTATCATTCACACAAGTTTCCTATCGTGTAGGCAGCCAAATTCAGGAGTCAGGAAGTGTAGCAATGTGCACATGCGGTGGTGGCCAAATACGGAACTCTGTCCATAAATGGTGAAAAATAATAGTTAATTAATGGGCAGTAGGCCCTGTAGAACTTGGCATTTCATGACATTTTTCTGCAAGTGGCTCAAACTATAAATAATATAATGAAGGAACAACTCTCATTCTGATATGACTGTTAGTTTATTACAATGTACTGTAGGTCTCCTCCTGACTGACCTGACTAGAGAAAGGATATGTCAGTCCTTAATAATACAGTTTTACTGTTAGTGTTAGTAATTACCATCAGGCCCGGATTATCCAATAGGCACAGTAGGCACTGTGCCTTGGGCCTACCAAAAAATTGAGGGCCTACAAAAGAATTAAGGGTCTTTGAAAATACCACAGTGTGCGAACAGGATTTTAATAGAGCTACCAGTTTGGCCTGGCTTGCTAACTACAGCTTATATCATCAACGTAAATTTGTGCTGGTGTTTAGTGCGGAGTAGGGCCTACGGAACACTTGATCTGGCTCTGAATACCATTTTGGACACATCACAAATTATTGCATGGCGTGTTAATTAAACACTTTGATTCAGTTTTATGCCAACATAACTTTTGTTCTTATGTGACCATCAACTGAACAGTTCTTGTGTAATCCATAATCCTCTGTTATTAACTTAACAAATAATGATATACATGTAGTCCATTAATGAACACACACTTTTTACTTGCATTGAGTATATTCATCCCGCAAAATGTGGATCAGATTTCCGTATTTGATTCATACACATAATAAGATTTTACAAAATTGAAGTTTCATACATGTAGCTAGATGTTCAAATGAATACACGTAGAATGTGACTGTTCATTGTACATGTGTACCGTATGGGTTACATCTCAAGTAAAAGAAAACTACAAGACATTAAACACATTGTATCATAATGTGCTTTTTGCTTTGTGCTCTCAACAGGTGATACAGTGCACCTGACAATGGTCACGCCCACACCTTATGGGGCGGGGTCTTCACAGCCCTCAGCAAGCATCAGCTGTTTCCGTAGCAATCCTGATAATGATGTCACACTGAGCTTTGGCAGACCATTCCAGATAGGTCTGGTAGGAACTACAGTGCAGACATCTACCACCCTCCCTACTGGCAGTAGTCAATCAGTGAATGGACAAATAGTCACACAGGATCTGACCACCAGTAACGATGCCACTGGGTTGTTTTATTGTGAAGGTTCCAGTAGAGACTTAACAACCAGAGTATACAGCATCATCCACAGTGAGAACAGTAAGTGTTTATTTTTTACAGGGCAAGACAAAGTCTCAAGGATTTCCCTTACCTGACTTTTTTTTTAGTAATTTCTTGGAATTTAAGACAAATTTAAAATGTATTGCAAACTTGCAAACATTGGACTAAGAATGTATTCGAACTATAAACTGTCAGAGAAGATTTGAATATATATAGAATATTGTGGCGATTTCTCCTCAGTTAATGAACCCCTGACTCATTGGGACTATTTCACCCAGCAGAAATCACGTCACTCGTGCGCAAATACAGCCACAGACCGGATCCGTTTGGGTGGAAATATACCGCCTGTTACACTAAAACAAAGACTACTGATAAACGGCACAACACAGAGTATTATTATATTTCTAGTTATGGCTAGCTAATTTATTTGACTCCACTTCTACATCCGCTTTGAGCAAAAATTACATCATCTCACTAACTACGAAACATGACACATCAACAGTAACTCTAAACTCAGGTTACACTGACAGTGCATTGTATTAAATCGAGGTGCATTGGTTGCATACACAACATATATCATCCCCCCCCCCTACAGCACCTGTATGACTATTGCTACACATCACTGTACTCTATATCTGCAATACTATCTAAACACAACGCCTGACTCCTCAACAACCCACCTCCTCAACTACAGTAGCCCCCTGACCACTGGGCTCTGCCTTTTATACCCAGTCTTAGTTGCTGTTATTTTCTAATAAGCTACCAGTACTTGAACAAGGCAATATGGACTCCACCCCAACCCCTGTTTTGAAAGTCCCTATACAAACAGAATTTGATCACAAAACAATGGTCTCACTATAGCCATTGTTTTCCATTCCACTCAGATTAATTAAATCCGTAGCAAATGCCAAAAGTGCTCAATACATAGTACATGTGCCTGTTTTCCCCTATCTAGTTACGTTTTTTTTAAAACATTTTATGCTGTCCACAACATCATCTCAAAACACCCTGTCAGCCCACTGACAGCTACACATGTATTTCTTAACTTATTCCATATGCTTGATGCACTTGACGTCCCTTGGGTTGCCAAACTTCCAGTTCCAAACCACCAGACTATTTAGTTACGAGAATTTCCCAAACACCAGTTGTATACACATTGAACCATTACCATGTGCTCACCCTGCCCTCTCTCTGTGGTTCAAAGATCCGGACCTATTTTCCCTATGATATCAATGGGCAAAGATGTTTTAAAGTATGTCTTTGTATTTGTAGATCAAGTAAGACTTGAAGGTTTGCCTGGTGGAAAGTTAACATGTTTGGGGTTTTCAAAAGCACCATATTTTAATTTCTTTTGTATATATTCATGGTTTTAAAAAAGAACCGGTTTGGTAAGTTGACTTTTGAGATTTGAAATTCCTATTAAACATTGTATTCCTTTCTTTTGTAGGGAGGTTTGAGCCTGTTGATGGCCTGGTAACGAAAACGGTCAACAAAGGAGAGGATGTGACTCTCTCAGTCATCACAGTTAATTCCGGTGGCTCTCCTCTGTGGCGGCGTACAAGAAATGGAGCTGTTAATGCAACCTTGCCTATTGCCAATCAGGCTAGTTTCACACTGCCCACTACTGATGTTGATGATGGGGATCTATACACTGTCATCGGATCTGCTGTTACTCTGGCTGACAATCATTTCAGTATGATCAGACTCATCGTCAGAGGTACAGTTTGTCATGCTGCATTTTTTGTGTCTCTGTACAAACTAGTTTGTTGATATTAGTGACAAAATATTTTTGCACAAAGAGAGAGATGCAAAACTGTTTTATTCATAGCAATGTACTTCACAGGCTTTCCAAACAGTTTAAGCACCTCTACATTAGTAATTTCATGCTCCATTTGGAAATTTACATTTCAGCCAGGGTGAGCACCAGTTTTATGTTATAAAATAATTTACAGGTATCTGTGCAATGAATGCATGTTGTATAACTCATACCTTCAAAAGTTAAACATGAGTATTAAAGCCTCTTGCATTTCATTCCATGTAGACTGTGATGCTGGTAAGTGGAATCCGACTGACTGTGAAGGGGTGTGTAATCTGTGCTACAATGGAGGAGTGTGTAATGATGAGACAGGAGATTGCATCTGCCCACCAGGATTCAGTGGACTAAACTGCCTCACAGGTAAGCTCATTTCCTGGTCTGTCTGTCCTTTCGTGCGGGCTGTCGGTCTGAGTGTGTGATCTGTGCTTCAATGGAGGAGTGTGTTATGATGAGACAAGAGATTGCATCTGCCCACCAGGATTCAGTGGACTAAACTGCCTCACAGTTAAGCTCATTTCCTGGTCTGTCTGTCCTTTCGTGCGGGCTGTCGGTCTGAGTGTGTGATCTGTGCTTCAATGGCGGAGTGTGTGATGATGAGACAGGAGATTGCATCTGCCCACCAGGATTCAGTGGACTAAACTGCCTCACAGGTAAGCTCATTGCCTGGTCTGTCTGTCTGTCAGGCGGGCTGTCGGTCTGAGTGTGTGATCTGTGCTACAATGGAGGAGTGTGTGATGATGATGAGACAGGAGATTGCATCTGCCCACCAGGATTCAGTGGACCAAACTGCCTCACAGGTAAGCTCATTGCCTGGTCTGTCTGTCTGTCAGGCGGGCTGTCGGTCTGAGTGTGTGATATGTGCTACAATGGAGGAGTGTGTGATGATGAGACAGGAGATTGCATCTGCCCACCAGGATTCAGTGGACCAAACTGCCTTACAGGTAAGCTCATTTCCTGGTCTGTCTGTCTGTCGGGCCGGCTGTCGGTCTGAGTGTGTGATCTGTGCTACAATGGAGGAGTGTGTGATGATGAGACAGGAGATTGCATCTGCTCACCAGTGTATTCATGTGTATTCCAGCCCATTCACAAGTGTTGGCTGTTTCCTTCAGTTTGCTGAGGTGGCTCACGTAGCTGACAGCACGGTACTACTAGAAAACTTTCAGAAGACCAACAATGATGCAGTAATTTGATCAATTTACAAACAGTAGTGGGTGTTTTTTTTATATATAATTTAGGCCATTGTAACCAGCAAACATCTTAAAGTAATGAACACACACAATTTTGTTTTATTGAACCTTTTTGGAGGAAAATTTGTGGCTGGAATTGTGACTAGCTTGATTTAAAATTTTGATCCCAAAAGTCATTTTTGTTTTGAAGGTATGGATGCTTTCCAACAAATATCTTATAATCCAATTTGGCACATTGTCCCTTGAAAGGTACAGTCTATCATTTGCAGCTGTCTTAATAGGGCTCACTCAATGACGGCCATCTCTGTAGGACACTGCCACAAGGGCGGATCCGGGGGGGGGGGGGCAAACGAAACCATTTTTTTTTTTTTTTTATGTGACATCGCAATAAAGGCAGGCAATGAGTACACCACCATCTTTTCCTCAAAAAACATTGGTTAAAGTGATCAGAAATTGCCTCAGATCGCACCACAGAGCATCTAGAATCAAAAAAAATTTCGGGGCCCTTAAGCGGTCCCTGAACCCCACACCGTAATTTTTTTGACCCACTTTTTGGGGGGACCAAAAAATTTTTTGGGCCCCCCCAAAAAATTGTGTTCTGGATCCGCCCTTGAACTGCCACTGTGTATTTTACGCTATCAGGCATGCATTGCGCAGTGTTGAAAATGTTCCAAACACGCGCGCTTGTTGCTCGAAATGTGTTCGAAATACGACGCAGCCGATGTGTGTTCTGCAAGTTGATGCTCAAAATGCTGATGCACGTGGCTGGTCTGTAGGAAATGACCTCATTTGAACGAGACCTACATGTATAGTAACTGTCATTTTGATGAAATCAGTGAAAAAGGCCTTTCCAACTATGCAGCTCTATATTTAAAGACTCATCGTTGGAAATTTCCGTAAGTATTTTTTTTTTTTATCCCCCTGGCTGTAAGCCAGAGGGGGATAATGCGATGGCGTATTTCTTCTGTGTGTATACATGTCTGTCTGTATGTATGTCTGTATGTTATGTTTTGGTTAGATTAACTCTTGTCAGCACGATAACTTGAGAAATACTTTACTTAGGAACTTTAAATTAGGTTTGTGGGTTGCTCTTGGCCGTCTTAAGAAGCATATTGCTTTTGGGGCCGACAGGTCTGAAGGCCAAGGTCACTATTGCTAAAACAATAGAAATCTTGTCAACACGATAACTTAAGAAATACTTTACTTAAGAACTTGAAACTTGGTTTGTGGGTTGTTCTTGATAGTCTTAAGAAGACTATTGATTTTGGGGCTGACAGGTCAAAGGTCAAGGTCACTATTGCTAAAACAATAGATATCTTGTCTCAAGTCTCACTTGCAGTATATTTTTATTTGGTGAAATGCGCACAAGCATTGACACGAGGCACACGCGCACGTGGTTGCTATAATCTGTTGGTTCAATGCGCGACATCTCGTAGCTGCAAACGGCTCAGTGAGAACGTGTCTCGGATGCTGAATTCAGGAACAATTCAAAACATGATTCAGCAACTTTTGATATGAAATCGGATCCTAGAATATTGTTTTCTCAGAATATACAGCATTTACTGAGCTGAAACTTCATCAGGTTAGTTGTTCAGCACCCTTTTTTAGATTTTGAGCACTTTCATTGCCTTAAACGAACATGATGGACGCTACCTTGAAGGTTTATGGTCACAGCCTAAGAATGCCTTGCAAATTAAAGATGGAATTAGACTTTGTCTTTTTTAAACTGAACCAACTATTCCTGACAAGTCTCACTTTGGGTCACCAGAGCTACCACCAGGATCACAGAATGCTTCTTGATTTTTGTTTACCTGTGAAAACAATAACTTAATTAACAGATGAATTCCCTGCACTGTATCTATTAGTCATGTAAATACGTGTTTTATTGCATTTTTCATATTTTGTGAAAATGTGCATTATATTTCCAGTGAAATGCTTGATAATCTCTTTTGTTTTTAACCAAACCAATCTTTTGATGATCACTTTCTACAGCGTGTAGTAAGCACAGATTTGGTTGGTACTGCGAGTTTCAGTGTGGATCTGGTAACGTGATTCAGAGTTGTACAGGGAGCCAGTTTGGTCTGCCAGACCCTTACGGGAACAGCTGCATCTCAGGATATAAAGGCACACACTGCAACATACGTATGTAAAGAAGACATAAGTCATGGCCTCTTTGACAAAGTTTGCTTGCATTCCTTAGATCCACAGTGTTCGTAATTGCTAAGTTTTACCTTTGTTTTTTTAATTGATTTTGACATAAATACGTGTGTATATTAATTTTGATTGACTTTGAACTCTTTTATTCTGCTTTTAAAGCCTGTACTTTAGGAACGTTCGGTGCTGGTTGTAGCCAGTCATGTCATTGTCAATCAGGAACATGTAATGTGTACACCGGTGCATGTACAGATAACCTTGGTTGTGCAGTAGGCTGGTCTGGAACAAACTGTCAAAGTAAGTGGCAGTTTCATTCTGTATACAAATCTTATCATACGATGTCCTGTTTGACTTTTATGTATTTTCACTTTGTATAGGATGTATATGTTTTTCAGTTACACTTTTGTCTCCATAAGGAAGCCTTGGTATCAACATGTTCTGCCCCTCAGTCTAAACATAGGACTGGCCATCACAGCCAAATTTGTAGAACTTCTACAGGTGCATACTTAGGCCTAAATTACTTTTTCGTCTGAGAGGTTTTTAGTAACTGTCCTTCAGAGTCAAAGTTTCAAAAGCAACTTTTTGTTTTACATTGGGTTTGTTAAAGGGAATATACATCATTTGCTTTTGCTGTAATTTTCAGAAATGGTTGGAATTGGGGGGTTGGAAATATAAAGCAAATATAGTTACACTGACTTTTTGGAGGTTTTGGGTTCGAAAATGCTATAAAAACCAAGAAAAACGATCATTTTCCTGTAGTCTGGTTCCCTGACTCCATATAAGAAGAAACAGAGCAGTTTTACATACATTGGGGAATTGTAAGGTTAGGGAACCAGTCTAGCTGGCTCGTACCCGTTCATAGGTTTGTAATCGATTGTAAACAAGTGCGATGGTCAATTGGGGCCAGTATTTGAAAAAAAAAAGCCAGTTGTTTCCAACGCTGATCGGCCGATCAGCGTTGGAAATTGATACAAAAATACCACTTTTCTTGAAAATGACAGTATACCAGGTGCCATGATTTTACAGGATGCTTTAGACTGTCATTTACCAACATCCTATTAAGGTATTTCGCAAAAACTTGGTAGTTTTATTTTTCGATGTTTGCAAATGTTGTATATTCCCTTTAACTGGGAATAGGAATGTAATTGTTCTTGTAAATTTACACTAAATAATAGCTACATGTAATATTCCGAAATATGGTTCGAGCTGACAGATTTTAAAACAAATTTATTTTTTCATCTGACTTGCTTTTACCAGAATCTAGAAAGCGACAAAGTGCTTGTACTTACTCTACATATTGACTATTTTCCAATTTTTAGTTCCAGACATATGTCCTGTTGGTTACTACGGAGTGAATTGTCACAGCCAATGCACATGCCCCGATAATGCAGCCTGTGACAAGAACTCTGGTGGCTGTTTACCAAGTAAGCAGTAGCGTTAGTGTGCACTTATCTTACAGTTCATTCTATCAATGCTGGGTACACTTTTTTCCTGCTCTGTAACATCTGACATCTACGATTTTACAATTCTTGATGCACTTCTGATGTATTTTTCCGCCAATGGTGCTTATGTGAAGCAAATTACCTACCCAACAAATTAAAATTAGTTTGAAGTCATTTGAAAGACACTTGAATGGTAAATTACAAAGTTCAAAGGTATAACAGGGACAGGAAAATGTCATACCTGGAACCTAAATTTGTAATAATCCAAAACCTTTTCAGATTCAACATGGGTGCGCATGTATGTTTTAGCATATTATTGAGTGGTCGGGCACAACCCGACCACTGTCTAGAATTGTTCGATTAATCTTCCTTCCTTCCTTCCTTCCTTCCTTCCTTCCTTCCTTCCTTCCTTCCTTCCTTCCTTCTTCCTCCCTTCCTTCCTTCCTTCCTTCCTTCCTTCCTTCCTTCCTTCCTCCCTTCCTTCCTTCCTTCCTTCCTCCCTCCCTCCCTTCCTCCCTCCCTCCCTCCCTCCCTCCCTCCCTCCCTCCCCTCCCTCCTCCCTCCCTCCCTCCCTTCCTTCCTTTCCTTCCTTCCTTCCTTCCTCCCTTCCTTCCTTCCTTCCTTCCTCCCTCCCTCCCTCCTTCCTCCTCCCTCCCTCCCTTCCTCCCTCCCTCCCTCCCTCCCTCCCTCCCTCCTCCCTCCCTCCCTCCCTCCCTCCCTCCCTCCCTCCCTCCCTCCTCCCTCCCTCCCTCCCTCCCTCCCTCCCTCCCTCCCTCCCTCCCTCCCTCCCTCCCTCCCTCCCTCCCTCCTCCCCCCTCCCTCCCTCCCTCCCTCCCTCCTCCCTCCCTCCCTCCCTCCCTCCCTCCCTCCCTCCCTCCCTCCCTCCCTCCCTCCCTCCCTCCCTCCCTCCCTCCCTCCCTCCCTCCCTCCCTCCCTCCCTCCCTCCCTCCCTCCCTCCCTCCCTCCCTCCCTCCCTCCCTCCCTCCCTCCCTCCCTCCCTCCCTCCCTCCCTCCCTCCCTCCCTCCCTCCCTCCCTCCCTCCCTCCCTCCCTCCCTCCCTCCCTCCCTCCCTCCCTCCCTCCCTCCCTCCCTCCCTCCCTCCCTCCCTCCCTCCCTCCCTCCCTCCCTCCCTCCCTCCCTCCCTCCCTCCCTCCCTCCCTCCCTCCCTCCCTCCCTCCCTCCCTCCCTCCCTCCCTCCCTCCCTCCCTCCCCCCTTCCTTCCTTCCTTCCTTCCTTCCTTCCTCCCTTCCTTCCTTTCCTTCCTCCCTCCCTCCCTTCCTTCCTCCCTCCCTCCCTCCCTTCCTCCTCCCTCCCTCCCTCCCTCCCTCCCTCCCTCCCTCCCTCCCTCCCTCCCTCCCTCCCTCCCTCCCTCCCTCCCTCCCTCCCTCCCTCCCTCCCTCCCTCCCTCCCTCCCTCCCTCCCTCCCTCCCTCCCTCCCTCCCTCCCTCCTCCCTCCCTCCCTCCCTCCCTCCCTCCCGGACAATAATTCTCCACGGCTTTACTCCTTAACCGTTCCAGATATAAACGTGTACCTTCGAACACATATCGACCCTGATCCCGAGTAGTGCATATTGTCCTGACGTCATGATGACGTCATCAGGTATCAAATTACAAGCAATTTAGTGATTCTATTTTTGAATCATTACAATTCAATATAAAATCAACCGTGAGAGACCGGAACTTGTTTTTAACGGCAGTCAATAGAATAATACTGGGTCTTCAATTTACTTTGTGGGTGTCAAATCATACGACTCTTACTTCTGGTCGAAACCAGTCGAACCCGGAAGTGCCTTGTAATTTTAAAATGGTAAAAGATATGAACGTGCTTTCAACGATGTTAGTCTTCGGCAAGAAAGTACTTTTCGAAACTGTAACCGATGACGTCATGGAATATTAGAGCGCCCTCTAGCGGCAGGTTGAAAAATGTCCAAAATGCATTTTGAATAGATGTCTGTGGCGAAGTTTGCTGTAATCTTTTGAAAATTGGTATATATGATGACCTTTATGCAAACAACACGTGTGAAGTTTGAAGCCGATGACGTCATCAGACCGGAAGTTACAACGAAAAGACCTTCTATTCTTCAAAAATAAATCAATCCTGGGAGATATAATCGTGAATTGTCCATTGAATGATAGCTTAAACATTGGCGTCAATTGTGCCAGGTTCGTGGCTTATCTAATTGTTCACACACGTGACCCGCCGCCGACAAAAATACCCTTATAGTAGTCCGTCGCTCAAAAATTCAATGAAAGCATAGCGCGTCGCCGTTCGGCCACGGCATAGGGCGCGCACGCCCGCTGAACGTACCGGTAGCCTGGCTTTTCGTTTGCTTTTCGCGGGCGTACATGTACATGTACATGTCCAGTTATAAGTACGTAGACTCTGAGAAAGTCTGAGGAGAAGTACTGTTGTCACGCGTGTACGACTAAAATAGATCGCTGCGCGCGTCTTCGTCTTGAAAAAAGGCAAGACAGAAGAGCGCGCATGCGCAGTTAATGTATCGTAACCGGGGTTAAGCTTGTACACTGCATGCACACTGTGATTCGGAAAGTAGAATGTGTGCACTTACGCTGTTCGTGGCGCGGCCCGGAAAGGCATCCTCGTTCGAACTCTGAGCGGCGATTTGGCAAATATAAATGTTTGTTTCTGTTTATAAATTTACCTTCGGATAGTAAGTATTATTTCGGGTTTTTTTTTCAAGCAAATGGTATTGGGAGTTCATGCTGAAAACAGCTTACCATTTAAAATGGCTCCAGTTATGATCGGACACATGAATACATGCAAATCAATGAACATGCATCCTCTCCAAATAACATCAGTATTCACTACCCATATTCACTTTTTCTACGTTTAAAAAAAATAAATACATACTGACATTGATCACTACCCAAAAGAAACATTTGTTAAACAAAATGATTAATTTTATCAGACAGTTTAAATTTCGTTATCCTTTGTACATTTTCTTACATAAAAAAATATTCATAACTTAACTGGACAGTGTTTCATAAAATAGTTGTCTACCCGACCACTCTGCGTTTGTAACAACAAACACGAACCTCTAGTTTATTTAGATTTTGTATCATATGCATGTCATATATGTTTTATCAATTTGTCCTTGTCAGGTCCGTGTTCTTCATCACCATGTGCCTTTGGAGTGACTTGTCTGGATACTGGTTCATCATTTACTTGTCTGTGCCCAGACGGAAGATCTGGACTTACTTGTCAATATACCAATGGTATGTATGTCATAAATCAGCCAATTTACAATGCAGGCACTTGCCAGGTTCATGGTTCTGCATTCACGTGTCAGTGCTTAGATGGATTTTCTGGAATTATTTGTGAATATCCAAAATGGTAGTTAATCAGTCGGTGCTTTGTATACAAGGCATCAAAATATGATTTCTTTTGTTTTACTACATCAAGTTTAATTGTGGCAATAGTCATGTAATTTTACAGATTAGAGGGTTTTTTGGGTTATTGTAATGCTTTTCCTTAAAAAACAAGGGTCTTTCCCTGTCATACCATTCCCTATCGTCTTCTGTCCTCCGGCCCCTTTCAGTATATGTCACCTTGCCCTTCCCTTTCCTATCCCCATCTCCCAGTCTCCATCATGTATCAGATAACAGTGAAGGAACTTATTGTTCATAAACCATTTATTTTATCTCCAAAATTAACAAAAGCGTTCATAACAGTCAGAGTAAAGGTAAAGAGAAGAACAAAATACTTAATAATTTATGATGATAATTTTAATCTTTGTTATCTGGTGACGTGGAATTTACAGAAGCATTAATTGAAAAGGTAATCAGTTTTGTGATGAAAATCTGTATTACTCACTGTGGTGAAATACTTGTATAAGCCAAAACAAATATTCATCTCCTTGCAGCATTGGTGTAAATCAGTGCCGGCGAGGGGGGGGGGTGGGGGATGACCAAAATCTTAAAATTGCTCGGCCATGGAAATTTGAAAAGCATAACACATGGGGAAACAGTTCATGATATACAGGTGCACTTCTCATGTATGTAGTGGTGTTCCAAAGTGTGGTGCACTTCGCCATTTCCCCGACTTTCCTCATGCAGTGTTGCCAGAGCTCTTTGTTGTCAAACTTGAGATTCTTTCAGTTAAATACTGGTACTTTTACCTCCATAAGTCGTCTTGTTGAACCTTTGTGAACAATTTTAGTGTTGTGAAACTGAGTCGGAAATTCAAAAATGGTAGTTTTTTTTTCGGAAATTGGGCCCAAAATTGTCTTGAATGTTCTCTAATGTGGTGCACTGTAACAAGAATTAGAATATCCAAAGATAACATTTAGGAATTTCTTTAAAGTTTAACATTATCTTTATTATCTCTACTGAAATTCACAGCTTACATAACACAGCACCGAAATTGATTTACGGCATGGAACTTGGTCACAGTGTCCAAAAATGTTGTTGCGCTTAATTGACAATTATGCAGTGACGCGTGACTGAAATTAAATGAAACTCATAGGGGTTGAGGCCAAGGTTTAGGAGTATCAAAATTGACTTAATAGTTTTTTACTCATTTTTAAAACAGTCAGATGGACACTTTTTTGGGACATACTGTATAATGTGTTTCTGTCGTCATCCTTGTTGAATACATGTACATGTATATGGTTACTTTTGTTGATTCTGGAGTCTTTTACCCTTTAAAAGGCAAAATTAAACATTCATAGGAGTGATATTTAACCAAAATGTTAATATCCCCGTGAATTAACAATTTGCATCTTGCTTCACAACTTGCTGGTGAGTGGTCTGTATTTGCATTATGCTATTAATGTGCAGGTCATGTAGCAACCACGAGTTGACCAATGTTCCTGGATGAAATGCATTGATGATAGCCAATTGGCAAACTTCAGTTACTTGGTTCAATTAATGGCTGGCATAACTAAGGGTCACATTACGTATGTGTATTTCATGTTGACAGTTCAATATTGCACTGTACAAACTAATCAAATCTTGACGCAATTTCATTAGTGTCAAGATTAGCTGAGTTGCACTTTAAATCTTCATTCTAATGGTCTTGTGTATTTGTCTTTGTTGGCAGACTTTCCCATCATTTGTACCAGTGGTGTTCATGTGATTGACACTCCTGGTTCCACTATAGATGTGACAATACCAGAGCCAACTGTTTCTGATGGGACCACTGGTGTCACATTCAGCATGAGGATTCTACCATCGAATACTTACACAGCTTTTCAAAGCCAACAGCAAATAGTTGTTCCATCATCTGGATCAGCTACTGTCGATATTGAAGTGGCTGCATACACCCAATCCCCAAACCAATACTCATATTGTGCTATTCGTATCACAGTCACAGGTAAGAATATTGTGAAGTGTATGCAACCTACTATATAATGTTTTTTTTCCCCCTTTTTTTGGTAAAGTTGTTAATGGATTTACTTTTGAAGGGGCATGTTTAAACACCACTTTAAATACCTGACTTGTTTGTATATTTAGTAGCATCTCATGTATTATAAATTCCCTGATTTCACAAGATAATCTTGCATAAATATAACCTATTTGCCTATGGTTATAATTAATGAACTTTGTGCCTGTGCTCGATGGATTCTGACGTAAAATCATAAAAAAGCAATGAAGTCAGAAGTCAACTTGTGATGTCCTTTTTACTGAAAATATTTGTGATAACATTTTTACTTAAATAGTTCTTTTTTTATTTCTATTGATTGAACACTTGAGGGGCGCATACTTCGCCTCAGATGCTATGCGCCCCTCAGGTATGCAAACATTATCGCCTCAGGTGCTATGTGCCTCCTGGGTGTTCAAAACGTCATACCCCACATCACAGCATATCAATAATTGCTTTGTTATACCTATGTCTTGGATTCTTTGGATATTGATGTAAAAATCACGAAAGCAAACATCAGTAAACACAGCAATCATGACAATCAAACGACAACTCACGTGCATGTTGTGAGCTTGAAACAGCTGATCATCTACTAATTTGCTGCTCCCACTCATGTGTAAAAACATGGGGAAAATAGCGTGGGTACCAACAATATCTTATAAGCCTTTCACACCGTATGTGTACCGTACAAAGTCATAGCACACTCCCTGTGGGACTTCACGTACGTGATATCCCACAGGGAGTGTGGCATGACTTTTTATAAACTTAACACGTATCCCTCTAGGCCAATGAAAATGCAGTATTCAAGACAGAGGTATAACAAATACAAATGATGTGTGAGTTCATTCATTCTGTGTGACAATATTTCGATATGGGGGCAGGTCAATCATCTATTTTTTGTTCATGGTTGGAATGGAACGGATGAGGGAAACAGCTAAATACACATATGACCTGTTGTTTTGTAATTGTATTGTGATCATTGTCTTGTATCTGCCTTTTCAGCTTTCCAGATAGCATGTGCCAACAATGTCCCTGTGTATGGTACGCCTGGTTCTATTGTCTCAGTGACTTTACCACAACCAACCATTTCTGAGGGGATCACTGATGTGGCATTCTACTTTCTGGATCAAGACGATCAGCAAAAATCTATCAGTAACGACCATTACCAAGTAACAGCGCCTATGGCTGGATCCCAGACTGTGGATGTCAACGTGATCACAAATGCACCTATGATCCCACAACGCAGTTGCACTGTTCCTATCACAATCACCGGTAATTGTTCTCAGTAACTTTGCATCTGATTTTCCTCTGCTTTATAGTTGACTATCCAAATGCTCTATAAAGTTATCTGGGGCCTCTTTTGGTAACAAGTCATCCAAGTTAAATCCATCATTTATAGGATAACAAATGAAGTATACATATGTATGTGGACGTCACCATTGATTTTGAATTTCAAGGGTATTTTTTAGGTGATGAATGTCAAGTGGGGCAATATCTCATAACATGGGTCTTAAGAACACATCGTCACTTGTTAGATTTCACATGCATAAGGAGCACATAACTTGTTACTCATTGCCAGCTTGACAAGTAAACATGTAAAGCTGAGGGTTCACCTGCCTGCTTTGCCACCTGATGATGAACTTGAGAACACGATCAAATCGTAAACACACATGTACATACATACACCTTCTCTGCTCTGTGTATAGCAATGATACAATATGGTTAAAAAAAAAGTTGATTTCTTTTTTTGGTGGCCATTGTGTAAGATTCCGTGAATATGTAGGACTTATTTGTTACCTTATGGTAAACCTTTAAATTCTAACTCAATGTTAGTATCAACCACTATGTTCTTCCCCTTTATCAAGCGTGCTGTCGCCCCAAAAAATGAAAGGATTTGACATTTTCACAATTTAAATGTCTAAACGGAATATACAACATTTGCTTTTGCTGTAGGTTTCAGAAATGGATGGATTCGGGGGGTTAGTATTTTATAGCAAATATTATTAGACGAACTTGTTTGTATTTTTGTGTTCTTAGTTGCTGGAAAAACCTAGAAAAACAATCATTTTCCTTTTGTCTGGTTCCCTGGCCCCACTTACATGTAAGATGAAATAGAGCAATTTTATAGACAGGTCAGGGAACCTGTCTACCTTGCTTGTACCCTTTCAAAGCATGGGCGTCGCGAAGGGGGCAAGGGGGGGGGCACTTGCTCCCCCCTGGAAAAAAAAAAAGAAGAGAGAAAAAAAAAAGAGGCGTGAAGTCATAGTGGTGTAAATTTAATGGGGTGGGGGGATGTCCCTATCCCCCTCTAAAACGGATGAATCGAGAATATGTTGAGAAATACAGGCATTTTTTTGCAAAAATATGTTTTGCCCCCCTCTAGAAAAAATCCTGGCGACGCCCATGTTGCAAAGGTGTGTAATCGATGGGGAAAAAGTGTGGACTAACTAAATGGAGAAGTATTTGAAAAAGCCATTTTTTTCCAACACTGGTCAGCCGACCAGCATTGGAAATTGATACGAAATTATCACTTTTCTTGAAAAGGACAGCACAGCAGGTGCCATGGTTTTACAGGATGCTTTAGACTATCATTCGCTAAAAGTCCAGTAAGGTTTTTCATAATAATTGGGTAGTTTTGTGCTTTGATGTTTGCTAATGTTGTATATTCCCAAACAAACAAAAATCAGAATCCGTTTACAAATTTTTCAAAACGTGTAAACGAAAACTGAATTATAAAAAGGGGACCTACGCTCATGTAAAATTTACATTTTAAAACCTATTTAATTTACGAAACATTTTAAGTACCGCACTGAATACTTGATTACATTCGAGGTAAATGTAGTTAGGTTTTTCACTCTTCAATGACTGCTATCTATTTATTATGTCAATCACTGTTGATTTATCATATAAGTCACCCCGATCTGCAGACATAATGGGAACACATCAGCCTTTATGAAATCGCTAAATGTTTAAACGGTTCTTAAAATATTTGCTAAACATTTTCAAAGTTAAATGCAAAGTTACATCCTTAGTCTAAAGTATAAAACTCTTGTAATTGGCTGGCTCAATATCAGATAGTTCATTAAGATAATACTGTTAAAACAGTTAAAAGTGTTTGTGCTTCATAACTATTCATAATTGAATGCAAATTCCTGATAAAAAAAATCATCAAAATTTTGACTTTTCAAGGAGGTTTTGTTGTACTGTATAGTTTTTTCCTCAACTCTCCTTACATTGTTGTGGTTTATTTTCTCCCATCAGCTTTTGAGATCACATGTGTCACTAATGATCCTGTGGTTGATACGCCTGGTTCTGATGTATCTGTGCCCATATCACTACCAACCATTCCTGCTGGAGTCACTGATGTGACATTCAACTTCAGGGATCCTGAGAATAACAGTTTGAAGCCACTTACATCAAGCACCCAGTACCAAGCAACCATTCCTATGTCTGGATCAACTACTGTAAACATTCCAGTGTTTGCCTATAGACCTTCAAGCCAACAACTAGCTTGCACCATTCCCATCACACTCAGAGGTATGTTATTGCATGCCTGTCAATTATCTTGTGATGCAAGATAGTATATAATGTTAACATGTTTTGTTTGTACAATGTTTAGTCAATCCCCAACACTGCTCAAAGCAAGTTTATTCAGTGGGAAATTATGACAGCCTTTTGTTATTGAAGTAAATTCAATTCTGAGTACTTTCACACTTGAGTTTCAGCACAAATTCCACAAATGCATCTTTTTAGTCATTAACGCAATGGAGTGATCCTTTTTTGTCGGGATGTAAATGTGGACAAGTGTAACATGGAAAAGCCTTTTTAAAGTTAGGCCAATCAAAGGAGCTGTAAGATGGTTCTCAAAAGTTAAGGCTTGTTTATTCTGAGTGCGGAAGCAAATATTAATGCAAGTTTTGACATCACAGCAAGTTTTCAGGTAGTCTGAGCATCACCTGTTGTCCAACGGAGACCTCTTCGTATATCCAATGTCTGATATTATTTGATTAAAGCAAATTTTATGCGACCCCGTGCGCCAGCCAATGGGAGTCGACTTAAGAAATTGTAACGTCAACAACGAAATACCTGATACAAGGCACCCACTGAATGTTCAGAATCTCGAGGTCAAGACGCAGTCTTTTTTTGAATTACTGGTATTAATCACCGAATCTGCTGGCATATTACCACAGACCCTTGCTGTGCAAAGGTCTATTCCATAGACTAATTTTCAGGCCTTGAATTTGCAAAAGTTGAACATCTTTCCACTGCATCAAAGTTGTTGTAGTAAATTTTTTTAACATAATATTTGCTACATATTTATTTTGAATAATGAACCCGCCTGTAGACTCAGGCCCATTCTGGACACCGTGCTATTTCTGCGCCGAACTTTATTGAAATGAGTACGGCAGTTACTCAAAAGGCTGAACTTAATGGTATACGAATATTGAGTAGCTCAGAGTGAAATGGGATATTTATTTCGATAAAAAAATGGTGGAAAATATGTTTTTCTCTTCCAAACCACCCCTTCGCGAAAATGTTTGAACCCAACTCTGTAGCGCTGGCTCTTTGGAACAATACACGCTACGCGCAACGCTGATAGCGCACACCAGCTTGAATTTGCACACAAATACCGCGTCATGGAACAAGGATGATCCTAACTGTTCAATAGTATTTTTGATATAACCGACATACAGATCCTTGTCATTTGATTGGTGGAACTCACATCACGTGGCATTCGTTATTGCTCCCATTCATGCCGCGGCTCAAAAAGTACTATCCGCCCATGGGGAATGGGAAATACTATTCAACAGTTGGGATCATGACGCTGTATTTGTGTGCAAATGCATGCTGGTGTGCGCGTTCAGCGTTGCGTGTAGCGCGTATTGTTCCAAAGAGCCAGCGCTACAGCGTTGGGTTCAAACATTTTCGTGAAAGGGTGGTTTGGAAGAGAGAAATACATTTTCCTACAGTTTTGTATTGAAAAAAGTTCAAATATATCAAATGACAAGGATCTATATGTCGGTTATATAAAACAAATATTGAGTGGCTTTAAATTGTGAAATGGGAGGAATATTATCGCTCGGGAAATCCGGGCTTTTCCAGTTCACTCGGCTTCGCCTCGTGAAATGGAAAAGTCCAGATTTTACCTTGCGATAATATTCCTCCCATACCACGCTGAGCCACTCAATATTTGTATACCATTCCCCATGAGCAAATGGGACTTTTTGAGCCCCGGCGTGAATGGGAGTAATAACGAATGTCATGTGATGTGAGTTTCCCCCCCCCCCCCAGTCAAATGACAAGGATCTGTATGTCGGTTATATAATAAAAAAAAAAATGATTAGCATCTGAAGTTATGGACCAGGTTAAAGCAATGCAAGCGGTTTAATGAATTCTCAGTGTTATCAAACTGTTCGCGCCAATTTCACTCCCCATGATGCGGACAAAAGAGAGGGTATTGTGAGCATGCACATTTCTAAAATGTTTGCCCAAACTTCAAATTGAATGGAGTTCGGCACGGCAATAACATGGCAAGATCATGGCATTTAGAACACTGCTGTGCCACTGCCATTCAGAGCGATGATAGGGCGGCAGCATTGTCGCCCTAAAGGATGGTGCCACAAACTCAATTTGCTGAACCAAATGGTTCTCAACGGTGTGCTTGTGCCATCTCCGTGCCGAATGAAAAAGTCCAAATGATTCCAGCACGGCAGTAGCTTGGCGTCTAAAATGGGCTTTAGGGACTCCAGTGTCTTTCGACACATGAAACAGTGAAAGATATTGGGTGAGATGCCACAGGAATTTTCAGGATTTTACCAATTTTGTCAGGATTTTCCCCCAATTCATGATGTTTAAAGAGTCTGCTATGAAATCTGGAAATTTTTAGGTTTTACCATAAAGATATCTTCACCACTAATGCTATAACAAGAGAAGTTGGTATTTTAAGGGGTGCTTGTTACAAAGGCAAATACAAACATACCAAAGACCTTACGTTGCTCCAGGACAGTTGGTGACCTTCAAACCCTCTGACAGTTATTTTGTGGATTTTTCATTTTCCCCAAATCCAGTTTGTCTTTCAGTCCACCTGCCCACCTCAGGTTAATGCCTGTAGGTGTTGTTGAGATATTTTCCTTCTGGAATCTCTAGCAATACCAACATATTAACCCATCTTAATGTTGGTTGTAAAGTCTTTTTTTTTTATTAAATCAACTACCTTAGTACATGTTACATATACATGTAATTGTTGAATATGGCAACATGGTCAGACCACATTAGCCTTTTGAAACCACTGGCTATCCTATGCATCAGGTTTTGTGTCTCCCACATATATTATTGGAGGTTGTAAGCCATCTTGATTTACCCTCTCCATTTATTGTAGGTCTGCCATATTTAAGCCAGAAACCCAGTGTAACAGTTTCATCTACGTCAGCTACCATCAGCTGGCAGGCATGGGGTTCCAACGCTATGGATAGAGGAGACGGGCCAGTCATTGCATACAAAGTCTACTACTCCCTTGCATCCTCAGTGTCATGGACTGTTGCTGAGACCGTGTCTGTGACAAACTCATCACAGGCTCTGTATAGCTCCACTGTTCAACCATTGAACCGAAATACTGAATACATGTTCAGTGTGGCGGCCGTGTTACAGGAGCAAGGAGGAGAAGGGCCAATGAGTCCAGTAACAATTAATGTGACTTCAAATGAACCTGAACCAACTACCCTGAGTCCTACAACCACAGCATCAACGATCGCTGAATCAGGCTCACCAGTAGAACCATCCAGAAGTACCAGAGGTAAAGTAAAAAGAGCATCCTAACACATTTCAATCTTCTCACAACATTAAAAAGCTTGAGAGTGACTGTTAAACAACTTTTTGGTTGAAATGGTATCAATCAATATCAGTTTTTAATCTTTGAATTTACATCATCCCAGTGCAAATTCCATCCTTTCCATACACTTTAAATAGTGTATTTTTTCGTATCAAATTCTAGTTTTATAGAAATTGGGAACAGTTTTCTAGGAGAATTAAAGTACACCGCTTTATGCTTGATTCCAGCTTGCCACCTGGCATATATATATATATATGACGTCATTTTAGAGACATATATATATGACGTCATTTTAGGTTGCCAAAATGCTCAAGCGCCTCAACTTTAAAATCACAGGAACATGAGAACGCCTCAGTTATGGCTACAAATTATGTTCACCAAATTAGTATATGGGATCTGTGCACTGACAAGTACCTACTCAACGGTAAGAAAGGGAGACGCTTTGGGTTTGTGCACGTACTTCTTACTATGGTTTGTGAACCAGTATGCGTATGTCCTGTCCATTGGGCTCTCAAAAGTAGTCCGTAAATGATTTGGTCTTTCAACAATTCATTTTTTTTCTTTGCTCACTCAAAGCGAGTTCAACAGTTGCACCAAATCCCACACCTGCATCTGATAGCATAGTGACCATTGTCGTGGTTGCTGTGCTAGCCATTCTGGTGATTGTAGTGTTGATTCTGGTCGTACTGCTGGTCAGACACTATCGGTGAGTACAATCTGCTCTCCTTGGCCAAACAAAATCCTACCCCCAAAATGAGTGTAGTTTGAAATGGCAGTGTTGCAGTCGAGTATATCACAAGTCCAATCACAAGGACATCACAAGTCATTTTACATGTCAAATCATAAGTTAGGGGATGAATAACAGCAAAGGAATGCCTTTGTCACAGTTCATATGATTAGCTTGTGATTTGTCTTAACACGTGATGAGTTGCGACTGATTTGCCATAAAATTACGAGGACATACTTGTATGGTGGACTTAACGACAACATTGGCAGATCATGGTGGGAGGAAGAAGGGAAAATCGAACCGCAAAGTGCTTATTGCTGCACCGGCAACTTTGTATGCAATCTTCCTTCTGGTTTATTGGTAAATGTTGTGTGACTTAACATGGGCTAGGAACAATCTTATTTTTTCCAGCCCAACAAAGAATCATTACTTTTAGTGAACTTCACACTTAGTGTCTCAATAAAGGGGGCCCCCTTTCCTTCATCTTTTGTAATGAGTCCAAAAACAGAGAGCAATTTCACCTACATATTCTCTAAGCTTTAATTCCTGGCAAAAGTCAGTATTAGTGCAAAGATTTAGAGGGGACACCTTGAAAAAGAGGGAGCATAAAGGTTCTGGACTATTTTTGAATAATTTTTAATATTGCAATGATTATATTTTCTGTTGTCCATTTGATTGCAGAAGAAGACGGTCTAGAGAAGTTTCCGTAGATGGCTTAAAAGGGAAGTTTGGAAGCAGTGATCACCGTGAGTTTTATTATTTGTTGGTTCATTTAAAAATAATAAACTTTATATCCCCGGGTGAAATGTTGTAATTTTTCTTAGCGAAACACTATACGAATTTTGTGGTCAATGCACTATTACAAGAGGATTTTGAAGGATTCAGGATGGTTAGGGTTAAATTTCTCATGTATCGGTAACATTTTCGGCTACATTTAAAGGGAATATACATCATTTGCTTTTGCTGTAATTTTCAGAAATGGATGGAATTGGGGGATTGGAAATATATAGCAAATATATTTACACTTACTTTTTTGAGGTTTTGGGTTCGAAAATGCTATAAAAACCAAGAAAAACAATCATTTTCCTGTAGTCTAGTTCCCTGACTCCATATAAGAAGAAACAGAGCAGTTTACATACATTGGGGAATTGTAAGGTCAGGGAACCAGTCTAGCTGGCTCGTACCCGTTCATAGGTTTGTAATCGATTCCAAACAAGTGCGAGGGTCAATTGGGGCCAGTATTTGAAAAAAAAGCCAGTATTTTCCAACGCTGATCGGCCGATCAGCGTTGGAAATTGATACAAAAATACCATTTTTCTTGAAAATGACAGTATACCAGGTGCCATGATTTTACATGATGCTTTACACTGTCATTTACTAACAGTCCAGCAAGGTATTTAAAAATGATTTGGTATTTTTATTTTTTGATGTTTGCAAATGTTGTATTTTCCCTTTAATAGTTTGCATCGAAACTGTCTTAGAGGAAACTGCAAATTTCCGTCTGGTTCACCATAAATGACAACTAAACAGTGCCACAGACTGTTATATAATTCCCCTATTTCAAAACACAACACCACCGTCTAAAGCAGGAATTGAAATCCCCAAAAATGTCTGGTACATCAAAATTGAGGAAAAATGAAGAAAACTGATGGCTGTATTGACCCTGAATGCACATGTATTCATCTAAGTTCACATTCATGGTGTGTGGGTGTGTGTTAACTCTGTTTGAATTCCACCCTTTTGCCAAATTCTTTCTTTTGTTGCATAAATTCCGGCAGACTTCCTCTTTGTGACACACTGAATGGACCGTGTGGTGCCATGTATGGATGACTAATTCTGGATTGTGACTGTACTTGTACAATTTACAATACAGGTTCTAACTTTGTCAACCAAATATCCAAAGAAATATACCCACCTGCAAGACCCAGAAAGGTTAAATTCTATTTTCAGACATTAAAGCATTCAACAATTGAAAAAATGTCAATGTGTTTGTGCATTGATTCACTCACACCTTTTGGTGTTTTTTTTTTTAGATATAGTCCATCATTTGTAATTTCTGCATTTTGTTCGTTTGAAGCAACAAAAGTGTTCAAAATCTAATGAAGGATACTGAACAACTAACCTGATGAAGTTTCAGCTCAGCTTCAGCTGTATATTCCGAGAAAAACAGCATTCTAGGATCTCAATTTCAAATCAAAAAATGCTGAATCATGTTTTGAATTGGGCCTGAATTCAGCGTCCGAGACGCGTTCTCACTGAGCCGATTGCAGCTATACGCGATGTCGCGCACTGATCCGACGAATTATAGCAACCACGCACATGTGTGCGTCGTGCCAATGCTTGCGCGCGCTTCGCCGAATAACAAAACGAACTACTAATTTAAATTTTCCTACGGTGCGTTTTAAGGCGCACCGTTGGCAAGGCCTTCTTTCGTTGAGTACTTCAAAATGACAGCTTCCCAGGAAGAATGATTTCACAGGGAGTTTAGTTCCCTTACTATCTTTCAACCAAGTATTTTTTTCAACAATAATTACACCAGTTACTTTTCAGATGGCTGCAAATGATGGACTATAGCTTTAAGCCATTGTATAACATACAAGTATACGTTGAGTGAGTCACATACAGCTGCAGTCAATGAGTGCATGTATGCAAATTACTTATTCACATTCAGACATTTTTGTTAAAAGTATCGAAGGTTTTCTGACAGACAATTTTAATTTGAAGTGGGTTGTTAAAAATGTTTAACACTTTACAGTCATTGAAAATACATCATAAAACATTTCATTACAAGTGATCATTGTGCCACAGAGAAACGCTTCCTTTCTCTGAAAATAGTTTTTTCAAGAGTACACTTTATTGCAAAGCTAAAAAAAAACCAACATTATCAATAACATAAATTGACATAAACACTTAAACTAGCGAACAAGACATGTCAACATTATTTCTTTTTTAAGTCCTATTTCCTGAAAAGAAAATTAACTGAGTAATAGCTTCTTTCCAAATATCTGACTTCTTTGCCAAAAGTCTCATTTCTTCAAAATGTGCATGCACTCTCCATTTGAATATATGTCTAGCAGAGATAATTATGTCTTACATCAAATAATCACTGTTTGCTTAATTCCAGTTTAAATATACCATGTTGATGCAGATATAATGTTTGTTGTGATTGTGATTTCACATGTTTTCATTTCCTTGTTATTTGGGCTGATATAGTTCCCTATTGCACAGAAGAACAGGAAACTCATGCTTTTTCAGATTGTCGTCGTTTATTGCTCACTGAAACTCCACAAATTGATTTCAGGTCAAGCTAACTTAAGGCCCCCAAAAAGTCTCCGGTTTCTGGTATGTGTGCGCGTCGCCGTAGCCATGCGCGTCGGCAAAATGAAAAAGTTTTTTTTTTCAATGAAAGATGATGTCTCAAAACCGCCAACCTCACTGGTTTGACTGGAATCCTGCTGCTGCACAATTTTAACATGTTTTTAGATGGGGTTATGATCGAGATTAAGTTTTATGTGGCCTCTCTGGACTCCCATATATTTGCACTAAGTCGGGCACCATTTGCAGTCATCAGCTGACATTTGAAGCAAAAAAAAAGGGAAAAAAAAGTCGCGTCGCCGCACCACTTTTTGGGCAAGCTCCATACCAGAAACCAGAGATTTTTTGGGGGGCCTAATTATATGCACATTAAAAACTCTGTTGAATAATTTAAGAAATTGTAAAGCCATATAGACACAACCTCCATGCTTGTATTAACCCTAATCTAATTCCCAACTCCATCAAAATCCAACCCCCCCCCCTCCATTTTTGGTGGGCAAGCCATGAGTACCAAGTCCAACAAAATCCACCTACATTGTATGGCAGTGGTGGATTTATGGTGGATTTCGGCAGATTTGGTCCTGAAGCATTATGTGAAGCAGAGTCAGTGATGGATTTTGGTGGACTTGGTACTGTTCTTGGGAAAACTCAGTAGAGAGTTAAGGTTAAGGAAAGACTTGTTTATAAGAGGGTTTTAAAGGAATTAGAAGGATGTACAATGCTCAAACAAAGAGGCTTTGGGGTTAACGTTACATAAAACTGAACGCAAGTTGTACTTAGTTATTTTAACAAATTTTGTTATCAGTATCCAGTCTGGAGGCTATAGACAACCCAGTCTCCATCCCCTTGGAGGATGTCAACTCCAATGGCGACGTGTCCCCAGAACCCACCGCCACTACCACCACACCCACCACCATCGATAAGGCACGGCCAAAGTCTGGCACCAGTCTGATCTCCATGCTGGACAGCAGCTCTGCGTTTGCTGGCCTGCCTCTCTACCCTCCCCCTGAGAGGGAACTGAAGAAAGATCCCATCCCGTTGAAGGAGTTCGTGGCATATATGCGCCGGGCCATGCAGGGTCCGCAACTTGGAGAGGAATGGAGTGTAAGTTGGCAGTTTATCTTTGCCACATCCCTAGTAAGATAGGCATTTGCCGATCTTGATGTTCTCCCAGATCCTTCAAGATTTTGCATGATCAAGGGAGATAAAACCCAGCAACTATAGTGTTCATTTATAAGCACCCCTCAGTGGTTACAAAGGAGAAGATGGGGGGGGGGACCACTGGGAGGGACATTTGAATGCGTTGCTTATGGCGCCTGATGATCACGTGAAGATGGTACGGTTTGTGAAGTTCAGATTAGAACTAGTCTTGCACACTTCACACAGTGCATGTAAAACCAATACGCACGTGCGGTGTGTTCGTTCCACTTGTGTTCTCAAAAGAGGTAAATAGTGCCATCCCATATTTACGTACAGAGTTTGTTGCCTTACATGGGACTTGGTTCCCCTTGAAGTTTTACAAAGAATTTGAGCTATCCATCCATTATAAGATTGTCAATCTGCTGTAACTTTACAACAGTCACTCGTTCACCGCACACACTATTTACGCTGTCATGTTTGTTTGTCTCGCTATGATTTTCAAGATGGGATACCCTGAGAATGGTGTATTGGTTCTCTGCAAAGATGTGGGTTTCGATCAAAGGGTTTGAGAATGTTCTTGAGAAAAATAAGATATTGTTATGGAGTTGGGTTTGATCAAAATTAATCAAGCTGTCTTAGTTTGTGACAATGAGTTATTTCTTTGAAATGTCTTTAATTTGTCCTTTTGTTGGTCAGTCCTTCCCTGGAATAGAGGCAATATGCTCCTGTGATGTGTCCCAGCTACCAGACAACAAGCTGAAGAACCGCTATCGGAATATTCCAGCATGTAAGATACACTCAGACAAATTTTATATCTTTCCCTTCTTTCCTCAAAATCCTGGTGGCGTGCATGTACCTTCACCGTTGCTTAATTGTATTTCAAAAGGAAATGTTTTGTCATCTTTTTGACCCTCACATGTATTGTAATTTCAGTAAACATTCAAGGCCCGGCATTGGATATTTCTTTGATGTCTTGAATATTTCAAGTTTATGTTTACATACAATTACTACATAATTTCATGTGTCTGTACTCGGTCTGTAGCAGAGCACAACATTTTCATACGCAAATGACTTTAAAGTTTTTGTGGCTTTTCTTTCAACCTCCTTGTTTGATTCAGATGACCATTGTCGTGTGATCCTGGATCATGATGAAGACGATGAGAACTTGGGATACATCAATGCATGCTACATCAAGGTCAGATTGTACAAAAAAGGTTACGTGATCAAACCGAAAGATAAATTTACTAATGCAATAAAATAGCAGCTTAAACTCACAGTTGCTTATTGAAACGTTTTTAAAGTTGAAAAAAGAAATTGACTGAATATGCAACCTCCGGATTGCCGTTCCAGTGCTACCAAAATGGCAATCTGGAGGTACAGCACCCGATTTCGTGAAACTCATCTTTACTTACGATGCATCGCAACGCTGTGAATAATTAAGAAATAGCCTGATTTGAAGGAATGTGTGAATTTGAGTAAAACTGTGAGATTGGTTTTTCTTTCCTTTCCCTCTCACTAACAGGGCTACAAGAATGACAAAGCCTACATAGCTACTCAAGGTCAGTATAGCTAATTTGAAATGTAGGAATAAATAATAACAGGTCTATATTTTTATGATGTCGAATAGGTGTAGAAGTACTTTTGCCGACCTCTTCAAAAAAAGTGAACATCTTCTCACAAGATCATAATTAAATTTGATCATGAAATGTTAATGTCTGGTGTAGCCCTATAACTCCTTCTTGCATCCTACATATACCTTTTCCTCGAATCTGCTGATTTCCTTGTTTTTTTTATTTCTCATGAATGCCATTGCAAATTGAAAAACACTGTACAAAGTCATGTGTGGTTTGGAATTTCCTTTGTTTTTTCCTTCTAAATTCCCAGTTGCATGCCTGATCCTATGATGTTCAGGGACACATTTTGTCATTCTAAGTATTCGTCTTCATCAATGCTTGTTATTAATATTCCCAATTCTTTTCAATCCCCAGGGCCCAATCAGGCCACCTCTCATGACTTCTGGAAGATGGCCTGGCAGGAGAATGTGCGCATCATTGTCAATGGTACAAACCTGGTGGAGGATGGAAAGGTAAGTTCTTTTTGTCATTAGTATTTCAGCCAATCATGGGGAAAAAGTTGGCACTATTACCAAGTGCACAGGGATTATTTTGACAAGAGCCTCACTCGACCTCAAGCCAGGCGGGTTGAAGCCATCACCCTCAGAAATTCCAGCCTCGCTTGTTGCTAGCGGGTCGCTAACAGATATTTCCGACCTGATCCCTGCGTGTATAAATCTGTCATGTGTTCTGAATATCGCAAAACGTTGGCGTGTATACACTGCCTCTGGATCGAACTGCTGAAATGAGTTTTTGCTCTTAAAAAAGAAATAGACCCCTCTCATAGACAGCCATCTTCGTGGGCAAATTACAACTGCTTATTCAATGCCATGTGCACACAGTGTGCAAAATGTTCTGAGCACGCGGGCATGTTGTTCGAATTATATTCTGAAAAACGTTGCAGCTGATGCGCGCAACAAAAATTTGACTCCCAAAATGCTGATGCACATGACTATCTGTAGGCAGTGATGTCATTTGAGAGAGACCTATTCTACCTGATTTGTTGTACATTTTGAACAGAAACGTGTACATATGAATTCTCTCTTTTGTAAAGTGACAGATAGTGTTGCTTCAAAACAGAATCATTCCAGATGCAATTATTCAGAGTCTTTTTCTTGGATATTTTAGTGAATAATTATCCAGTAATTTAGAGAGTTTGCTGCAAGATGATTACAAGTGTTCCTGTCTGTCTGTATTTGCTCTGTGCACTAGTATCGGTTGAAAGTTATTGAGCATGTCTCGATTTTTTTTGTTTTGAAATTCTTGAACCATTTGTTAAAAAATCTTTTTCTTTCAGAATAAATGTGCCAAGTATTGGCCAGATGTTGGGAAGGCAGAAACTCTGGGTGGCATTTTAATCAGTGCAGTTAGTGAGGAGACTAGAGGAGAGTACACAGTCAGAAAAATGACAATTTCCAAGGTGGTAAGTTGTCAAATATCATTTTTTGTCCATCTTTGATGAACTTCATGAGCAATATATTACAAGTCCTCACAAATCTCAAGTCCTTACAAGTCCATCACAAGTTAATCACAAATCATCCACTCCAGAGTAAAGTTGCAAGCCATAGGCCTTACGCCCGAGTCGGCCATATTGAATTGAAAGTGAGGTAAAATCTTACGCTTTGGAACTTGCGAAGAGAAATGAAAGCAAGTTACTAATTATAATTTCAGTCTGCTTCAATGAATAATTTAAAATGCGTAGTTAAACATTCCCTAATATTTAAAGCCATATTTATTTCTTATGTGTTTATTCAGTTATTGTGCCACAACCAATGTACTTTGACTGTACACGCAGTGCATTCAGAGAACTTGTAAGAAAATAAAAGCCTCACCAGCTTACCTGGGTGGTACTCAAACTCATGAAATGCTGTCTATTTGGGCAGACACCTTAAAAGGATAAAGGCTTTGCTGATGAATCGTGTCTGGCAATTGAAATCATTCTGATGCAGAAATGCCATAATACTTTTCAAGGTGTTATTGTTTCATAAGAATTTCTCTTGTTCCTATTTACATTGAAATTAAGGGTGACAAGGAGTCTTCACCCAGGAAGATCACGCAGTTTCACTACACCAACTGGCCTGACAAGGATGTCCCTAAGGATGTGACGCCGGTCTTGAAGTTTGTCAAAGAGTTCTCTGAGGCAACGCCCAAAGATGCTGGACCTTATCTCATCCACTGCAGGTACACAATGTCTCACTGTATCCTACTCATTTTGCATAGTTGTAGTCTAAATCTTTCAAGCAGTGTGTCAAGCAGCTGTACACCAGTAACTTGTGGTCTGAATTGTGATAGACTTGACTACAATTTGCTGGTCTAAATCCCAGCTCTGCCCCCACCAAAGAAGAGAATGCCATAGCAACTAGGAAAGTATATACAGAGGAGAGCCGCTATACCGAACATTCGGCTATACCAAACATCATCCTTGGCTCCCTGTTTTCATGTACAAAGCGTAACTAACATTGTTGTTCCAAAAAGTCATCAGAATAAAAAAAAAAATTACCCGTTATATGACACACTACTTAGGCCATTTTAAATTAATTAATTCCCGGACATCTTGCAATACAGTCAATGCAGGAAATGCATGGCCACATAATGGCTACACAGTCACTGAAGCACCTTGTAGTGCTAGAGGTTTGCGTTGCTATATGTTACAGAATAACTACCTTGATGCATTTGTTTAAAGGGAATATACAACATTTGCAAACATCGAAAAATAAAACTACCAAGTTTTTACGAAATACCTTACTAGGATGTTGGTAAATGACAGTCTCAAGCATCTTGTAAAATTATGGCACCTGGTGTGAAGTCATTTTCAAGAAAATGTTTTTTTTTGTAAACATTTCCAACGGTGGTCGGCCGACCAGCGTTGGGAAAACCTAACTATTTTTCAACTACTGCTCCAAATTTACCAATTTTTTCAGTCCAAATTTTGTTTGCTATTTTTTGTATGTTCATGAACGGGTGCAGGCCAGCTAGACTGGTTCCCTTTCCTTACAATTGTCCATCATCTATAAATTGATCCATTTTATCTTTTGTGGAGTCGGGGAACCAGACTACGTGAACATTTTTGTTTTTCTGGGTTTTTTTTTTTCAACCTTTTCGAACACAAAACTTAAAAAATGTCAGTGTAACAATATTTGATCTATTATACTAACATCTCAAATAGTTCATTTCTGAAAATTACAGCAAAAGCCAATGATGTACATTGCCTTTAATAACAGATTTCACAGTTCTTTAACGATTTTGGGTATCTGTATGTGACTTTATTGTGTGTTCATCACGTCGACAGCAAATACGTGCCTAAAGGGAGATCCATATGTTGTTTATTGCAAAGAGTTGGAGTACATGTTAGAACCTTTTTTCTCTGTTGTTTGCAGTGCTGGAGTTGGCAGGACCGGTGTTATCATTGGCATACATGCCTCGCTGCAACGAGCCCGGGCAGAGAAAACTCTGGACGTCTACAACTTTGTGGCTGACATGAGGGATCATCGGGTCAGCATTGTGCAGACACCGGTAGGTACTTCAGGGACAACGGTGGTAGAATTGTACGATACATGATGAAAAATGGTAACAACCCCAGTTTTACACACCTTTGGTTCTTGTTACAGTCACCAATGGTGTAGTTTAGTTTATCACAAGTCCAGTCACAAGTAACAGTGAGTGAACATTAACAAAGGAGTGCCTTTGTCATAATTCATTTAAGTACTTTGTAAGTTGACTTGGGACTGACTTGTTATTATTATTATTAATCATTTCTGATAATGAAACCAAGGATTCCTCAAAAGCGCCCAAAACACCATAGTTCGCATGCCTGAAGAAACCTGTGGACAGAAGACAATGAGAAGAAGTTACTGTTTTAGAGGTGGGAGGAAAAGCCCAGAAGAATATGTAGAACGCCATGGTCCAGTGGTTACAGTGTTTGACTCATGTACGGAGGTGCGTGGGTTCGAACCCTGCCATGAACATGGTGTTTGTGCCCTTGGGCAACACACTTCACTACAATTGCCTCTCTCCACCCAGGAGTATGAATGGGTACCTGTGAGGGTAGAGGACCGATTGAGTGCTGATATCGGCTGCCGCGTGGTCCCATGGCCTGATGAACGGGGTAATAATTGTAAAGTGCTTTGAGATCGTTGATAGGATGGAAAGTGCTATATAAGCACAATTATCATTATATTCTGAGGAAACCCACGGAATCAGGCAGGGACTGAAAACCCAATCCACACATTGGCTCAGGCGGGACTCGAACCCAGGTCACAGTGGTGGAAGGCAACTTTGGCATCCATAAAACTGATCTCTATTTTGTTTTCAGGTCCAGTATACGTTCATCCATCTTGCCTTGTTGGAAGCTCTGTTCTCAGACGACACCGCTGTGCCTGCAGCTTTACTTGGGAAGAGGGTAACCGAGCTTAAGAAGAAGAAGAAGTTGGCTGAAGAATTTGAGGTGATTTAAACAAAGACTGATTTTGGGGCACAAGCCTTGTGTTACAGTAGATTAGACATTTGATTTGAGATTGTACATGCCAACCAGCCTGTGTCTCTTTGTTGGCTTAAATCTGCGTAAATTGTGTTTTGACAACAGTGATACTAGCAGTATGCATTGTTTTTGTGACACTGAAATGCTTGCTTGATGATTTTGGCTGTCCTTACTACATGTATTAGTATTACTGTCCTTACCATTACTTTTAAAAAGTAATAATCAAAAGATTGATTGCTAACTTATGCTGAATTCTTAACCTAAATATATATTCCATTGTCCACAGGGTACATTGCATCCATAGAAAAGTGTGTAAATGTACGTATGCGTCAGTGGCATTTTTACTACTACTTTGGAAATAGTTTTGTCAACCGGGTGATTGTATGATTTGTTTTCAGCAACTGAACACCATCACCCCGATTCCAAGTCGAGAAAAATGTCGCAAGAGCATGGCTCACACCAACCAGAGCAAGAACAGATTCCCACACACGCTTACTCGTAAGTCAGTCTCCTCTGCTTAATGCAAGAAATACAGTGGTTTCCTATAGAAAATACAGGGTCTACATCACTCTACTTACCTGTAGAGCGAATACTACATATGCATTGTTCCCTATGCCGCCGGCAGGCAATTTGCTAAGAGTTTTACACAATAGCGCCCTCACGTGTCCTACCCACGACGCCCTGTGACATGCGCACTACGTTAGCGTCCTCTTTTTCTCTTAGCCGCAGGCGAGGTATAACGTGGAATTTCAATTGACCTGAATTTCACTGTTTTATTTGTACCTCTTTTGCTGGGAGAAAGCTATTTAGAAGAAATAAAGAGAAAGTGTTTATTGTAGAGTAGTTCTAGTGAAGTTTTTGGAGTGAAAGTGAAGTAGAAATGAGTAAATCTAGGAAGTTGGGGAGGACTGGGTGTGTCGATAATGGAGGGACGTACATCCCACAAGCCCGAGTTCTCGGGGGACTGCACCGGTGATGGTACGTCACCGCGGCAGCAGTCCCCTAGTCGGCCCCTTCAGCCACTGCCGGCTGTCGGAGCTGACGGACCCATTGACCAAGCGGGGGGCCGTACAACCCCACCGTCTTTGGTCAATATTTACGGGTCCGCCCAACTGGAGGGGAAACGCACCGGCAAGACAAAGAAGTTGTCTGAAGCAGGGGCAGTACCCAAAAAGGGACGTACGGCAAAAGGTGGCTCCACTACGTGGCGCACCGTGCCCGTCCCTGGCCCGTCTACGGGGCACACGCAGCCGGAGGAAGTACTCCTCCATGGCTCAGTGCACCCAGGCCCACCCAGTCCCGTGATTACCACGATGCCTGGGGATGGGCTGTTATATGGCCGGCTAATCGACCGTACAGCACCCGCCTATGTTACCGGCATGGGGGCGCTGTCGGCCGCCCGGGCTATTGATAGCGTAGAGCCGAATCCCTGGGATTCCCCCAGAGCATTAACGCTACGCTCGGAGGGCCATGCCTCTACATCGGATTTTATTCGTTGTTCGGGCATCCTCGTGTCCCCGCAATCCTCGGCAACTACTCGGATTCGTTCTTCAAAAAAGAAAAAATCGAAAAAGAACCGCCGTTCCCGCCGTTCTTCGACGAGTTCTAGCGGGTCATCCGGTCGATCACACCGTGGGAAACGCCACAAGGGTGGCGACCCGATTTCACGCGGTGATTTTTTTGAGGCTTTTCACTCCCTCGCGGCCTCATTGTCGGGCCGGCAGGGAGACTACGGTCACAGCTGGATGACTCCGGGCCAAAGGGACATACCGCACACGGCTAGCCGTGCGCCAGAGTCCCCTCCAGAATTACAGCCCCCACCCGCCAGTCATCACGGCCGTGGTGGGGTGACTACAGACCAGCGGACAATGCCGTGCACGGAGAGCCGTGCACCGGCGTCACCGCCCGGTATTAGTTTACACCCATCGGTGTCACTACAGTCCGAGCGGGGCTCGATACTGGGACACTGGTTCCCATTCCCCGGTGACAACTCGGCCCCCGTGCTCTGACAACTCGGCGGACGAGAGCGAGCTGACCCGCACCATGCAACACCTATCGGTGGCTGAGACCGAAATCTGCTTGGTCCAACGGGATATGATCAGAGTTCTGAATCTTCCTGCTGGTACCGAACCTCCTCCTCCTGAACGTCAGTCGTTCAAGAATAGATCGGGACCGACGGCGGAACTGGTCCGGGCTTTTCCCACAATGCCCCTGGACTGCGTGTGCAGTGACCACATCGACGGGATAATGCACGCAAAGACATGGAGTGCCTATGCTAAACGCGTAGACTCGTATTATCATTCCCCCCCAGGGGATTTTGAGAAATATTTCTCAACTCCAGTCCTGCCGGGCTCGGCCATTGACAAACTCGCCGCTGACCGAGGGACGGCTTCATCCAAAGTTCCTTTTACGGACAAGACCCGTGGAAAGCTGGAGGATGTCACCCGTTGAATGGACTCGGCGGCACGCATGGGTATGCGTGCGACGTCCTTTCTTATTCTTCTATCCGAGTACCTGGCCTTGGGGTATGAAGAAGATTCGGTGATACCAGCCGACATGATGGTGGCTGCTCTCCATTGCCTCGATCGTGGCCTCTGCTCCACTCTCGACCAGTTTGCTAGAGTGTCGACCTTGGCAACATCGTCACGCGGCGCCAATGTGGTAGATGCACTTTTCCTCCCTTAACCTGGAGCACAACAGCGTCTCGACGATCTCCCGCTCTCAGGCCCGGACTTATTTTCTGGTAAGTTCCAGGAGGCCATGGAGGCCATGGAGGCCGAGGCAAAGCGCCTCAAGGCCACAGAGAAAATAAATCTCAAGAAACCGGCCGAGCCGAAAACCGCGGACAAGACAAAGAAACAGCCATCTTTTGTCATTCCCCGGTGCCGCCCTCCGGTCACAGCGGCCCGTGGTGGATTTCGTGGGCGCGCCGATAAGACGGTCGGCCCGCGTTATTCACAACCACATACCGGACAACAGCGTCCCCAGTCGGGATGCGGTTTCCGTGCGCCCACTCCCCGTTACCCTGGGGCGTGGCGCAAGTGACTTATGCGTCTCCAGGCGGCCTCCCGCCGGTGGACCCGTGGGAGGCCGCCTTCAGGAGTACGTGGGGTCCTGGGTGCAGGTGACTTCCGACCGGTGGGTCCTCGAAACGATCAGCAGCGGTTACGCGCTCGAGTTTACGAGGACCCCCCGTCGGACATGCTTATTCGGACAACGCCCGTACCGCCCGACACAGCAAAACGCCACTCCCTCGAGGGGGAGATCGACGCCCTCCTTCTAAAGAGAGCAGTTCGTGTTGTCCCCCAAGGGGGGACCCGCGCAGGTTTCATGTCAACCTTCTTCAAGAAGGAGACCGGTGTGTGGCGTCCAATACTGAACTTAAAACCCCTCAACAAGTTCATACGTCCGAAACGTTTCCGCATGGAAACGTTACGTACCATTTTCGCATCGATCATAGCGCCAGCGTGGGCGGCCAGTATAGACTTGAAAGACGCGTACTTTCACGTACCGATCAGGCCGGAGCACCGCAAATTCCTTTTCCAATACAAAAATATACTGTACGAATTTGTGGTGCTCCCGTTCGGGCTATCCACTTCTCCGCGGGTGTTCACCCGGATCATGAAGACGATCGGGGCGGCACTGCTGCGACGAGGGATCATGATATTCATGTACCTTGACGATTGGCTAGTAGTGGGTAGTTCTCGGGGGGAGACGGAAGCGGCGCTCCAACTAACGTGGCACCTTGCTTCCGACCTGGGATTTCTTATCAACACCAAGAAATCCCATCAAGTCCCCTCACAGGTTCCCACCTTTCTAGGTGCATCCCTCGATCTTCGCAGGGGACTGGCCCGTCCATCGGAGGACCGCCTGCTGAACCTTCGGCAGTGCGTGTCCCTCTTCCTCCCGACGGTAGTGGCTCCGGCCCGAGCCTGGCTCAGGCTGTTGGGCCTTATGGCCAGTCTGGTGGACTTAGTGGAATTTTGCAGGCTGAGGATGAGGCCAATTCAACTTCACCTGCTTTCTTTCTACAGACCCCGCTGGCACCCGATCGACCATCCGGTGCCCACTACGTCTTGGCTAGTCCCCCACCTTCGTTGGTGGCTAGTCGAGGCCAATATAACGCAGGGACGCGTTTTCCGCCCGTCGGTACTTATCACGACCGACGCGTCAGGGTACGGCTCGGGGGCTACCCTCCACCCGCGACAGGTCGCGGGCGTATGGGGCCCCGCACATCAATCATCCCACATCAACGTCCTGGAAATGCTGGCAGTCACCAACGCACCAAAACATTTCCAGTCGGACGTCAGAGGACAAGCAGTCCTGGTACGATGCGACAACGCCACAGTGGTGGCATACATCAATCACCAGGGTGGCACTCGATCTGTGTGCACTAACGTGGGATCTCACCCTCTGGTGCATACATCACGGGATAGCACTGTCGGCAGTCCACATCCCGGGGGAAGAGAACGTCACAGCCGACGCTCTCTCCAGAGGCTCGATCGCCCCGACAGAGTGGTCACTGCTCCCACAGGTTGCTCAGTCTATCTTCCGACTAATCGACCGGCCGCATGTGGACCTATTCGCGTCGCGAATGAACAATCAGCTACCGATCTACTGCGCGGGGGGCCCAGATCCCAACGCGTGGCAGACCGATGCGCTGTCGGTGCGGTGGGACGGCCTACTGGCCTACGCCTTCCCACCCATCTCCCTCGTTTCTCGAGTGCTGACGAAGATCGAGCAGGAGGATTGCCGAATTCTCCTCATAGCCCCGTTCTGGCCCCGCCAGCCGCTCGTCCGACTCTTGGTTCACCGCCCGGTAATTCTACTGAGGAGGGCCGATCTCCTTTATCAGCCCAGCTCGGGAATCAGTCACCAGGCTCCGGGGGATCTTCACCTGACGTGCTGGGTATTGTCACCCGATCCCTCTGCTCAGCAGGCCTTTCGCGACGAGCTGCAACAATTGCAGCCAAGTCCCGTAGAGCCTCAACCAGAAAGGTGTACGATAGCCGACTACGCCATTTCTTTAAATGGTGTAGACGGCAATCCATTCATCCCCCCAATACTTCTGTAGGTGAAGTGGGGAGCTTCCTCCTATACCTTTTTAACAGTGGGCTCACGACGGCCACGGTAAAAAATTATCGATCAGCCGTTGCCGCGATCCATCAGGGATTTCCGGACGGTTCTTCCGTTTCCGGCAACCCTGCAATTAGCCAACTGATCAAGGGGATGTTTAATACTCGTCCCCCAGTACGCACATTAATCCCATCTTGGGACCTCTTCAGTGTACTATCCACACTGGCGAGGGCTCCTTTTGAACCAATGAATAGCTCAACTTTGTTACAACTTTCCATCATAGTAGCTTTTCAGTTGGCTGTCGCTACGTCCCGACGACGTAGCGAACTACACTCATTATCGATGCAGACAGGACACATCTGGTGGGAACCGGGGGGTGTCCGCCTGATCCCTACGGCCGGTTTTCTCGCAAAGAACCAGTCAGAGACCTTTACGCCCCTGGACATCTTTGTCCCGGACATCAAGTCTTTTTCGAACGAGACAAACGACAAACTTTGGTGCCCAGTTCGAGCACTTAAGTGGTATGTCAACCGTACGAAGTCACTTCGTACGGGACACGACAAATTGTTCATAACAACGACCCCGCCCTATGGGCCGGCGTCTCGCGATACAATTACTCGCTGGATCGTGACAGCTATCCGTTCCGTACCGGGCAGCTGGCCAGCGACCCAGGGACCCATTCGAGTGCATGAGGTCAGGGGAGTGTCCACCTCGTTGGCCTTTTTTAAGGGTGTCCCCCTAGGTGACATCGTCCAGGCAGCCTGCTGGAAGAACCCTAACACGTTCTCCGAATGCTACCTGAAGGATGTCCTCCAGGCAGATGGCAAGGCTGGAAGAGAAGTGCTGCTGGCGGCCAGTCGAGCCTCACGGAAGCACTAACGGGTGAGCATATCAATATATATATTTCTATGGGCATGAAGTCTAATGATGTGTACCTATCATGTGTTCATGCCCATAATGGTTACACCCCCCTGACCTTTTGCGCACGAGCTTTTTGGGTTCCACTTATGAGGTGAAGCCCTAGAGCGTCTGGGGTGTTTGCCTTTGGACACGCCTCATGTCCTACACCCCTGTAGACATACGGTAATTCGCGTACACCCACCGCCTTACTCGGTGTGAGTCTATGCATATGTAGTATTCACTCTACAGGTAAGTAGAGTGATGTAGACCCCCCCCCCCCCCCCACAGTAGTGTGGTTGGGGTCTACGAGCGAATACTTACCTGTAGAGCACCCCTCCCTCCTTCCCCACTATACTCGATTCCTTGAGTGCTTACGCAGGTAACGCTTGAGAAAAAGAGGACGCTAACGTAGTGCGCATGTCACAGGGCGTCGTGGGTAGGACACGTGAGGGCGCTATTGTGTAAAACTCTTAGCAAATTGCCTGCCGGCATAGGGAACAATGCATATGTAGTATTCGCTCTACAGGTAAGTATTCGCTCGTAGACCCCAACCACACTACTGTGGGGGGGGGGGGGGAGTTTACAATATCATCAGAGAGTGTGTGTAATCTCCCTATTAGCAGGTTTACTCAGAATCTTTCACTTGGCATGATAAGCGAATAATTTTAATGCAATTTGCAGTGTTTGTGTTCTTTTTCATTTTACATGTACAATCATAATTGGTAAATGTCATGATAGTTTAAAAAGATTTTCTATCGTTGATGCTTTTTCCTTCCGTGCAGTTGAAGGCTGTCGGCCTTTTTTGATGACGCCCAGAGAAGATGGGATGGAGTACAACTACATCAATGCCTCATCTGTGGATGTAAGATCATATCAGTCGATTGTTATTGATACGAATTGTAAACAGTGAATTATCCACAAAAACTGCCCTGACAGAGCGGACGTTTGAGAATACACATGCAGAGCATCCTTTTCTTTCACTATCTTAAAATTCACCTACATGAAAATTGAGTGAGAGCATCGTCGTCGGTTTGAATAAATTTGATAAAGGGTCAGAAAGTGACACATTTCCAACCATAATTTCATTTTCTAGTTGCACGTAATTCATGAAGAATGTTGTAAAGTTAATATTTGGATTTGCCCTACGACTGGACAAGCCCATAGGAAAGACTGAGTGTGCAGTGTTTTTCCAAATACGTTGGCGAAGGGCAAAACCCACATATAAAAAACAAAATACCGTAGACAAGTCCACCGAGCCCATTACTTTTGTGACTGGAATTGTGACAAGACTTGTGATTTACTTTTGACCGGACTTGTGATGAACTGGACTTCAGCACTAATTGGAAAATAATATGTTGCCAAGAGCCGTCAAGCCCGAAGGTGGTGAAGCGCAGAACAATTCCCAAAATTTAAACCCCACAGAATGGATCTTTCTTTTGTCTGGAATTTCATGAAGTGTCACCACTGCTGACATTTTGCAAGGAATGAGAAAACAATTCAACTGTGCTGATCTTTATTTATTTATTTTTTGTTCCTAGGGCTTTAAGCAGAGTGATTTTGCCGTGGTAACCCAGGCTCCACTGCCAAACACCGTATTGGACCTGTGGCGATTGGTTTACGACTACCAGATCTCCAGCATAATAATGCTCAATGCGCCTGACCCTGATGATACTGTAAGTTGTGAAAGTAACTTTGGAGAAATTATGTCTCCGAGGGTTTTCCGGCCTAGTTTTGGGCCAGGCCGTACATCCAAACTGTTTCGACCGCTTTGTGGCTGTGACTTTGGTTCCTCTGTTTTTGGCCAAACTCCTGTGACTTCAGCTGAAATCAAATCACACAGGGACAGTGGCGGGGGGGGGGGGGGGGGGGGGGGGGGGACCGCCCCCCCATGAAACCTTGTCGCCCCCCCAGTTGTGCCCCCCCCCCCCCCACTGAGATTTTGAGTTTCTAAAAAAATTATCATTGATCTACATGACGCTATGGGCCCTATTATGTACTACAATGTATCTTTTGCTTAGAAAATATTGGTTAAAGTGGTCAGAAATTGCCTCAGATAGCACCACAGAGCATTCAGAATCCAACATTTTTCGGGGCCCTTAAGCGGGCCCTGAACCCCACGCCTATAGCTCAGAATTCTGGTAGCTGATTCAATGACTCCAACCTCGAAAACAATGTTCACAAAATGTTCTTATGCCTTTAGCTGAGAAAACCTCGAAAATTATGTTTAAATTATTATCTTTTGTGCTAAGATAATTATTGGTTAAAGTGGTAAGAAATTGCCTCAGATCACTCCACAGAGCATCGAAAATCCAATTTTTTTCGGGGCCCTTAAGCGGGCCCCGAACCCCACGCCAATAGCTCAGAATACCCATAGCTGATTCAATGTCTCCAACCTCGAAAACGATGTTCAAATAATTATCTTTTGCCAAGAAAATATTAGTTAAAGCATGGAGGAAAGTCGTAAGAAATTGCTTCAAATCACACCACAGAACATCTAGAATCCATTTTTTTTTTCGGGGCCCTTAATCGGGACCCAAACCCCACGCCAATAGCTCAGAATACCCATAGCTGATTCAATGTCTCCAACCTCAAAAACGATGTTCAAATAATTATCTTTTGCCAAGAAAATATTAGTTAAAGCATAGAGGAAAGTCGTAAGAAATTGCTTCAAATCACACCACAGAACATCTAGAATCCAATTTTTTTTTCGGGGCCATTAAGCGGGCCACGAACCCCACGCCGTAAGGGCTTCGCGCTTTGCGCTTGCATCACCTATGATCAAGGTATGACCCCCCCCACACTTTTGAGAAGCGATTGACGCCCCTGCTTGACGCCCCCCCATGAAATGTTCCAGCGCCCCCCCACTGAAAAATTCCTGGCTACGCCACTGCATAGGGATGTGCATGAATTATTTTCGTTTTGCTGAAAGAACGAACACCTTTTTTGGTGATCCGTGGACACAACTTTGAAATGGTGGTTGTGTTTAAAATGTGTGATTTGAATGATTCTTGTACTAAAAGAAAGCTTATGAATTGGGCTTCGTATCCTAGATTTTCAGAGTGATACATGAAGAACTTCACTAAAACAATAGTCCCGACATTTGGGTTTCGTTTTTTTTTTACTCACCCTGTATGTGCACGTAGTCCATAGAAATACTGATGTTTGTAATCTGCTTTGTTTGATTGACAGAGTTGTCCGCAGTACTGGCCAGACAAAGGCAGTGATGAGTACGGTCCGTTCACCGTAACCACCACCAACACAGCAGACCTGGAGGGATACAGGATCAAGCAGATGAAGCTGGAACATCGCCGACAGAAGGTAGGGGAAAGATCACAGGGATCTGTGAGCTAGACAACACTAGCATGGTGATGGGTATAACAATGTAACATTAAGACGTGGGCCGGTAAACTTGAAGCTTAAGTGTGTTTTTTTCATTTTTTTCCGGATATCATTTGAGACCATAAATCCAGAGTATAAATTGTAAAATGTGAGCCTTGCCACAGGACTACTGGCATAGCTTTTTGCTCAGTTTGAAGGAAATTTGTTGTTGTATGCAGCAAAATTTCAGTATCTTATGCGCATGTTGGTCTTTTTTTTTTCATGTCACAATTGGAAAGACATTTTACGTTATAAGGTTGGAAAGGCTTTATAATTTTTTTTTAAAAGGTTGTCATTATTATGTTGAGCTAACTCTTTTTAAATCTACTTTGTACCTACCTTTCTTTCATATTCCTGTCTGTTGTGTTCTTGCAGTGTGGTTTTATGCTTTTTTTGTACCAGTCGTGTTTCCTCTATTACTTTTTCGACCTAAAAATGTAGTTTGCAAAATATCTCGCCTTTGTGGTTTATTCCTTCAAACCTGTGTGTGTATGGTGTCCTACAGAGGGCCTGTCTTGTACTTCTCCTGCCAGCTGCGTGCTGTCTGCTCTCTTTCTTGGGTGAGTTTCTGACTAACATCCTCCCGGAAAAAATAACTATTATCAAACCCAAAGCCCAGAACCCCACTTGCTTCCTGCTAGCTATCATGTATACCCAATAGGCTCCCAGAAAAAAAAGTTTGGAAAGCACTGCCTGGCCTACTCTCCAGCCTGTATGTATTAAATGGATATGATGCGTGCATACACTGGTTTTCTGTTGGGCCAGGTGTTCTTTGTTCTACATGTACATTTAACTCATCATGTACAGTCGAACCCTGAAAAGAAGAGCACTGTTAATATAACATCCTGCTTATAGCCTAACAAGCAACATTTTAGGTCGCACTTCTTTGTTTTTTTTGTTTTGATTACTGTTCATACAAGGTGCCTGTTATAACAAGGTAATTTGTAAAGGTGTTCGACTGTACTCTGTTGCATTGTACATATAAGGCCCCTTTTTTAAAAATTACTTTGATTACGGAATTGCCGCCGACATTTTTGATGGAGCACTTTCGTGTCCGAATACAGTGTCCGAATACTGGGCGCACCATTATGGGTGCGCTGTAAAGGGCGCACATACACGTGTAGAATTTTTTTATTTTTTTATTTTTTTTCCACTCGCCGCACGACCCGGGTAACAAAAAAATCCGTAATTTGTATCCATCTCGCAGTTTCTCCAACCCTAAACTCCAAATCCCTTGCCCCCAAATTCTCAGCCCTCTGCTCTCCCTTGCAAGAGCTCCCTCCGCATTCATCCCAGACTTCACAATTTAACAGCACATTTCTATACTGTAACATTTAGGTCTTCACCCTCTTATAATAAAATTACAGCATAAAACTTTGGAAAATTTAACATTTTGTGGCATTTCTTTTGAAACAGAGAACCCTAAACTTGTGTAAAATAATGGATCTTTTTTCGAAATTTCTCAGTCCTTTTTTCCCCAGTTTCTTGGAGGGTTTAAACTGGTACTGACGTGTACATATCGTCGGGTGCACCATAAAGTGATCTATTGTCTATAGACTTTGTGCGCACAATACGTCACTTCGTGGTGTAACCGACGATATAGCCAACTTTCAATAACTTTAGTCTCATCCACATTTTCTTGTGGGTGTTTGTTTTATCACAGAGGTCACACTATTTCAAGCACTACCAAGTCACTGACTGGCCGCTGGGTCAGGAGGTACCTAAATCCCCCAGCGCCTTGCTTCGTCTCATCCAGACTGTGGACAAACACAAGCCAAAGGACAAACGCTCAGCCAGTCTTGTCCACTGCATGTAAGTTGTAAAAATGAATTTCCGGGGACTTTGATTGGCCGTGGGAATAGCAAAGTATGGTGTTCCATATGTACCATCGGCGTTGCATTTTGGGCGTCACATTTGTCAGCTCTGGCAGGGATCATTTTGATGGATTTCATGCAAGACTTCTTGCAACTCGGCCAGAGCTTATTGTGCACTTGAATTTGAGCTGTACAACATCTTCTTCGAACAAGGTGCACGCCATTTTGTGTAGTGATTGGATGGTATCCAGAAAGAGGAAATGTGATTTTTCAGCTCTGGCAGGAGCTTCTACATGTCACTTGATGGTCTGTTGGTCGGTCGGTCAGATGGTCTGTCTGTCCCTAAAAGTGACCAAAAATACGGTGGGACATATGTGCCATCGGCGTCACATTTTTCGCCAGCGATTATTGTGCACTCGCACTTGTTCCTGTGCTGGCACCCAGAAAATGGCCGATCAAAAATTTGGCATATATTGGTATTTCATCACTTCCTTTTTGTTTTGTATACAGAGATGGCCTGAATCGCAGCGGCGTGTTCTGCGTACTCAAGAACTCCCTGGACAGGCTGCACGAAGAGGACGTGGTGGACATCTTACAGACTACTAAAGTCCTGCGCTTGAATCGTCCTAACTTACTCAATAGCCTGGTAAGATGAACATGAATGATAGCAGTCAGGAATATGGGAGTCACACTGTTTTCAGGTTCACCTGAAAACAAAAAATTGATTGACCACCCCTTCAAATGTTGGCTTTTCCTCACTGTACTGCAAAACGGCAATTTCCTAATGTATAGGGTGGTGCAAAAAGAAGGAAACCCACTTTTGACGGCAATTTTCACCGACTTGTTGAGCATATCTCAAAAATTCAATTTAATGATATTAAAGTATTGATCTTTAAACATAAGTGATGGAAAAATGATTGCAAATGCATATTTTGTCTCTTGAGATGTGGTAGTTTAAAAATTTCTTGTGCCAAACCTGTTTGTCCACGGACGGCTTTATTCCATCCGCTTGACTGAGCTCCGGAGCTTGATACAAAACACTCCACTAGACTTACACGTGGACAACAGTGATTTTGGTGACTTGTATTCAAACATAATAACACTGTTCTTGCGATATTTTTAAAAGGTTTTTTTCACCATGAAGGTTTGAAGAGCTATACTTCACTACATTATTTAAAAAACAGTTCATTTCATCATGACAGGTCACATATACTACTCTTCATTTAAGTATGTTCGTCAAAATCTTTTCTTGTCCTCCCACAAAGGACATGTACCGGTTCTGCTACGAGGCCATGCTGGCCTATGTGAACAACCCAGAGGAGTTCAAGGCGGAGGCGATTCCGGAACCAGTCTATGAAAACACGCCCAGGGACATGGAGAAGGACAAGCCCAAAGAGAGCATATACCAGAATCTGGAGCCGAAAAGCAGCGAGACCCCTGAAACTTGAAAGGTGCAGAGCCAGCGGGTACAAAAATGGTCTTTTGGTTGTGAGTTGGGAGGGATGTTGCAGATTTAGAACAAGTAATATAAATTTCTTAATACAGACCTTTTTTGTTTACAAATATTGTGGACCGTTGTTTTGTAATCAACCAGTTTGCATAAATTTACACCCTGGTTGGCAAAAGCTTTTGCCAGAAATTGTCAATTTGTGACGTATTCATAAATACCTCAGACAGTTTGCCCATTCATATTGGTTGAGAGCCCGTCATGTTGGTCATTTTAAACCACTGTTAAAACACCGGCTGGTTTTAAACACTTCTTTCCTGTACTGGTGTGTTCTGCACCACATTGCGTACTGCACGTGCGCCAATCTCCGTAAAAGTAGATTATTTGGTGATTTGCGCGAGGCACATAGACACTGCGAGAGGGGTGTTTCACAAAACATGAGGTAAAATTGTTTAACAAAATTGTTTAGAAAATTGTGAATTTTTGACTTGTTTTGACTTATTGACCAAACGTGCTTGATTGGTATTTAAAAAAGGCATGTTTAAACCCTGCTAGGGGCTTGGTCTTGGAAAATGGTCCTGGCCTTCAGCTGGGGCCATTATTCGCTTCCCGGCCCCTAACCGGTTTTAAACGTGCATGTACTTGTTTAATACCGGTCAAGCACATATTCATTCCCTTATTAAAAAGGGAGATGACTTTAATTAGCTTTGATGGTGTCTTTTGAGTATTCAGTACTTTTTCCTGTTCTTTCTTTAATTTTGTTTTTGCAATGATGGTCAACCATAGTTTCCAAACCACTGGGCAAAGAAAGCTGGACAATTGTAGGATTCTTAAGTAAAGTTCTCTCCATTTTTGTGTCGCCTAAACAAAGATTTGGGGGACACGTGCCAGTCCTTAATTCTGTATGTCCGTATGTTAAAGTTTAGGTTAAAAAATTGTAACTTTAATATGCTTCCATGGATTTTGATAAAACTTGGATGCAGTGACCCTTGGGTGGGAAGACACAATTCTTCATCGGATTACTGAGGTCAAAAGTCATGTAGGGGTCATTAGAGGTTGGGCTCTTGAAACAAGAATACGAACACAAAACATACCTAAGGGTGGTCCGCGGAAAAAGGCGACACCGGTTGCGATCTGCGGATCACTTGTTTTGCAAAAAGACAAAGGTGCAAAAAAGAAGTCTCCCATCTTGACAAATGCTTTTTTTGTAATTATTGCCTTTGGTGCTTATACATTGCCGCTTGCAATGAAAACTGATAAAATGTACTTAGTTTTATAACAGAAATAATATTTACTCAGTGTCATATATTGAAATACTTTTGGAATTTTTGAATTAATATTTAGATAAAGGTGATACATATTTTGAGATGGAAAATATATATTTTTAAGCTTTGTATGCAACATCGAATGCCAAGCAATTGTTATTGTATATTTAGTGCTTTACATGGTTCTTTTAGAGCGTTATGTAACTTTTGTTATACGGAGCATCAGTGTCTATGCTTGTTGTTATAATTTAAGCAAACTTGGTGCACTAGTGTTGGTTTGTAACATGGCATATACCTGTCCACCATGTAGAGGCTGAGTTTATCCTAATAACGTATGCTTAGAATGTGGCTTGAATGATTTTAATAAATAGGATGCTACAATTTGTAAGATGATTTACATAGTATTCTGGATCATTGTGGGCAGTTTCACGATATGTTTTCAGTTATAAAGGGTATTGACAGTACACAGTTTTGTTGACTTTTATTGTGGCAATTAATGCCCGACATGTATTCTTGTAATTATAATTGGAGTTGACAGAGTTTTTCAATTCAATTCAATTCAATATTTTTATTCGTCATTTGACACACATGAATTTTGTTTTCACTTTTTACAGCAATAGACATTCTGTTTTGAGGTTATTGTTGTTAACACTCGGTATGAAGTTCGTTTGAATTTGAAATTGCAAATGTGAAATACGCAAGGCATTCCTGATCAGTAGAATAGCCATTGCCCCTACGTAAATAACAGCGGTCACTATTTGAGGCTACACCAAGTTTTAGTTAGTTAGTCTGATGATCAGGCATTCACATGTGCTGAACCACGGTCGAACGTCTGATATATCCTAACATGCAAATTTTATGCGACACCTCACACCAGCCAGTCGGAGTCGATTTTAGAAACTGTGACGTCATTTCGGTCAGAATTGTGGACTTAACTTTTGATTGGTCAATTTTGGATGCCATGATTTTGTAATAGTAACAGGTTACAGAAGATTTGATAGAAGGCGCCTGCTGAATGGTCAGAATCTGGAGGTCAAGACGCAGTCTTGTTTTGCATAATTAATCGCCAAATCTGATCGCATATCATAGACCCTTGCTGTGCAAGGGGATATTCCATAGACTAATTTTTAGTCTGTTGGGTGTTTCAATGCCCACAATTTTGGCTTAATTGCTACATTTGGTGTGAGATTACTTTCTACTGATCCAGAACATACACAAAATGTACTTACGGTGCCATGACTAGAAAATGTATCCTCTATGAAAAAAAAAAAATTTAAATTAAAAAAAAAGTTTTTTTTGTACATATTTGCCATATAATGTTGGTACCTCCTCGAAGCAGACACAGCCTGTCGGTATTGCTGCTTTTGGAATGGTGCAAACATTCGTATTTTTTTCATCATCAAATGCACGATTTGTATTTGACAAAACTGATATGAATCAATTTGATAATAATACTGAGCACGTAGTATCATTGCATTTCAGCATTTTTTTTTTTCTTTTTGAATCACAGATGGGAAAAATAGCCAATTGTACTCTGCATTTTTGTCAAGTTATATTTTCACAATTTCTACTCAGAATCATTAATTGGCCAAACCTGTTGACCAGGTTTAAGTGTTCACAACGTGGGTATCTGAGGATATATAAATTTGTGATATGCTTTTCTTTAATGGTACATATTTTTGTACGCTTTAATGTATATTTTTGTACGCTTTAATGGTACTAGCTTTTTGAATATATTGCAGTCATTATGTATATGAGGTACTTGTTCGTAAATTACAGCGAGCTTTCAGCTATATCAACAAAACTATTTTTAATTGGATTTTGTTTGTTAATGGGGTGAATAAGTCTATATAAGGAGAGAACTATTTTTGTAGGGAATGGCAGCGACTGGTTTATTGCGTGAAGAGTTTAATGGTTTTGGGGATGTTTAAATGCTATGTGTAAAAAAAACCATGTTCTACTTTCAATCCTACATAACTCTGTTGTTTACAAATGGAATTGAACCCAAATTTCAGGTCATATAAACAATGCACGACAAATTGTATGGAGCGAGTTTCATCAGCTTTCTCGAATGTCAGAATGAAATTTTAGGATGTCGATACAGTGCTGGAGACGGTGGTGGAAAGTAGTGTAGGGGGGACTGTCTGGCACAATTTGACCTTGGGCATAGAAATATGTAAAGGTCACATAAATATGTAAATATGTTTATATAAATATTAATTAAGGGATGTGGGAAATTCTGGCACAGTTTGACCCCTAATGAATGGATGTGATGAATAAGGAATGGGTGAGGGTAAGAAATTGGGTACAGTTTGACCTATACTCTATGGGAAAGTTTGCATATATGTATGGGGGGAAAATATAAAATTTATAGTACATTTTGACCTTAGCCCTAACAATACAGTATACATGTACATGTAGTTATGTATCTACACGTGTATTACATGCGGTTTACGCAATCCGAACACGACCACCTGTGGTCGGCAGTAATCCTCTCGAACAATAGACAGTACCGCGGCACTGGGGATCTCCGGAAGTGAGCATCGATCCCAGATAATCTTTTCGGACAATGGACTGTTGACGCACGTGCGCTCTCGTGTGGTGAGTGGGTATTCTGTCCAACAATGGGACTGTAAGTGGCCGGAAGTAATTATTGATCACTCCGTCGGGGTTAGCCGGAACAGATCGATATTTCTCGAAAGGGGCCACCGTAGGCCGTGTTGTGAGGCATAGTTTAGAGATGGTGTCAGAGTTACTAATTATTTTTAACCTCTGCGTATCATACGTGAAAAAAGTCAACGAAACTGTCGGATGGTCGAGTTTTAAAAAAGTTTGAAAAAATTAATTTATGTATTTGTTGTAAACAAACACTCACCGGTGAACAGCGTACTTGCACGGTATAGTCCGATGATTGTTTTAACCATGAAGGAATTATGTTAATAATAGATCAGAGAGCTAATGAATCCATGCGTTCTATACGGAGACCGATGGTCGATCACCCCTCGATGATCGCACCGATCATGGAGCAAATAAATAACTCCGTGCTTCTGCACCGATATTTGCCTTGTCATATTGTGTATGTTATCCAGGTGCAATACCAGTTGCACAATATTCTTCCACATTACCACCAGAACTATCAATGTACGTATAATTATCTGTGTGCGGTGGTCGTAGAAAATACAAACTTTCAGCGTCGGCTCAGTCGGTACGGTGCGTACAGTATGTACATTTTTTGTACACGTACATCTGTATTAAGGGACTGACTGCATCCTAAACATTGTATATTTACACCGTCCGATCAGATAGCTGTTTCCCTTCTTTCAAGACGTGTTCATTATATCGATTATCTTTCACCGACTTAACCTACCTGCATGTACAGTGGGGATGGATTATTGAGCGTTCTAAATATCGCTTGCCAGGAGTTGCGCAACAAAAGGGGAACACAGACTCCCTCTGACAATGGGACTTAATTGGCAGCGCACGGCATGTGCGGGAGCTTCATATATCTGTACGTGCTGTCTGTTCCTGCTCCTAGCTCCCTCATCGAACGTGTATTCAGTCATGGAGGAATAATTATGAGGTCACACAGAGCACAGTGGGTTTTTTCAATTGATTTTTTCGATTTTTTTCAATTGAAGTCGCCCAACACAAGGCCCAAAAAGGCCACTCAAGGTGTTTATAAATGCAGTTTATAGTTGCAGCGAGAAAGTTTCATTCCAGAAAATAGACCTCAGTGACTGAATCCAGTAAAATGAATAGTTCCCACTAGTTTCAAAAGTTTTCAATAAGACTGTCACAACAAACTACAGTTTTCAATGACCAAGTCTCTTGCTTAATGTAATGGTTGAACAAACTTTGAAAGGAACCTTCCATGAAAAGAAAACAGGCCTTTGTCAATTGCATGTAAAATACCGGATAGCCTAACACATCGGTCGGCGTTTAGTATACATGAAAATTGAACAATAAAGTGTTAGTATACTACATGTAATCGAGTGAGTGAAGTCTTTTTTTTCATGTCATCTCAACATTTATTTCTACAATGTTAAGTAAATTTATTTAAGTATACAAAGGGCTAATATCTGACAGATATGTGATAAACTACAAGTTAGAATAGTAATTGCAACACATTGAAAAAGGGGAATTAAGGAGGCATGTTCAAAATAACTCGTAAGTTGACGCCAGGTTCTTTTAGCTTATTACAGCTGGACAAAATAATGTGCAACTTGATGTGTTCTTGGACAAAGATACTTGTGACTTGACTTGTGTTTAGACCAAATGACTTGTGACTGTACCCAATAATGACTTGTGACTTGACTTGTGACTGGACCTAATGACTTGTGACTTGACTTTGACTTGCAAAAAATGACTTGCTGCCACCTCTGGTAGTATATCGGTGCCCACGTTTTACTTTGAGATCCCTCTAAAAAAATCCACATTTTGTAGCTTCGGCCAGTTTGTTTCTTAAAGAAAAAAACCAGTAAAAAATACCTTAAAATCGAGACGAAAAGCTTTTACAGTTAATGGGCAAACCAGGTTTTGCTGTAAGTGAAAGTCATACAGAATCGTACTGAACGCCTTCCCCCACTTTATAATGAAATAGAAAATACCTATTCCCAAATAAACTGTGCTGCAATTATTTGCCAAAGTGGTACTTAAACACATGATATTTCGAATAAAAGTTAATGTCTGGCACGTGCATATACCGGTAGGTAACAAAAAATATATTTTCTTTATAAAACTTTACTACAATGTAGACAGTTTCGGACATTAGCTGCTCTACATGACATCAAAAGCCTACAAAGAACCTGCATGTGCGAAATTTTCACCTTTATTTTATGCCAAGGACACTCAGTAAAATGTAATATTTATGTACCAGCGGCATGTACATGTGCAATCGGATCAGAAAGGGAATTCCCCTCTTCATGGCTTGTCAACAGAGGGCGCTGCTTTTCTTGCTCAGCCGCTGTATTCTAATCACCGGGCCGGCGAAAATGATCGATTTTCGGAATGAAGGCGATTTTGTGGGATTTTTGTGCTATATTATTTTCACAGCCAGATAGTTGGTCTAACGATTATGAAGAAAACAGTGGAAAATACCTTGGCCGTTGGTGGCCGATTGCAAAAATGTGTCAAGTTTTGGTTTTGTAAATATTTTCCTTAAAAGCTGAAATCAATTTGACTTGTTTTTCTTAGTTGGGGTTGCGCCAACGCAACAAAAAAATATAGGGGTACATTATAGCGGGTCAATGTAGAAGCACGGTGAATATTATTGTACATTTGTACAAAGAACCATGGAGCTATAAAACACAAACGCACGGTGAATGGCCCCGCAAGGGAAAGTAAGCCGTGTACGAAATGAGTAACTCATGGCTACGGCTTCGCTATTTGTCATTTTTTTGTTATTGTGAGAATCCGTAGCCGTAGACCAAAATACCAGTCTCGCATCTGTCTCGTTCACAGCACATAGTGCGAAATGACAAAGTTTCGTGCACCAGTCTGGATTGACGTTCACGCATCAGTGACCACAAATGCTAGTTGACGCGTTGAGCACTTCAACTGAAACTGAAATTGTCCTTTGTAATGTTTTGGAAAATTTAAGGGTTTTCTGTTCGATTTGTAAGATGTGAGTTACAACCAGATCCCGTTTTGCGAAACTATCCCGCTGTTGGGCGACAAAATCACGGTTATCTGCTTCCAAACTTCTCGGAAACAAGTTACGGAATTCGGAAGTTATCAACCGGTGCGTGTGGGCGCAATGGCGCAGTCGGCGTGTACATATCGGGGAATTTGATGCCCGCTAACTTCCGGGTTCGCAGACATCTTGCCATGGAGCATTTTACTCGCTCGCTTCTGATTGTCCTTTCAGTGGTATTCGGCGTATCAGGCAAGTTTAACATGGCATTATTTACAAAAGGTCTCAGTATCGTAAAGATCTGGATTTTGTTCAAGACATCGTCGTGTCGGTACAAAATTGGAAATGTTTTCTCACTCCCAATATCTTTTCAACATTTCTGCCATGACTGATCCTTCATTGAGATGATATATGATGAAAAAAAGTGGTGTCAGTATGCAACATTCTTTCCCCAAAACATCCTAATTCAGTAACTGCCAAATTTAAAAAAAATCAGCATTTTGGGTATCTTGAGTAACTCCAGCTCTCAGGAGTTGGAGCTACTCAAGCTACATTTTGGGTAGGCCTAGGCCTACTTGATTTTTCCAAAGATTGCCGCACAGGAGAATTTTCTTTGAAAAGCATTGCGTCAGTATGACATTACATGTATTTAAAGTCATATTGTCGTATCGTGATTACGAGCCTGAACATTCAAGCTAAAACGTCTTATGTGCAAGATGTCGTGTTTGTGCAAAAACGTATGTTACCTATGTAACTTGGAGTCACTAGATAGCAGAAGAGTAGGACATTGCTTAAAATTTGCTAAAGCACTCGGTACTAATTCAAGAACAACTCACTTACTCATCCCTACGAGGCTAGCAAGTCACGGTAGGAACCTACATGTAAGGAACAGTAACCACATAACTCAACTCCCTATTAGAACCAAGCGCAAAGTCCCATCCCTTACTTCATTAACATTTTAAATGCCGGCTCTGTGTGATTTTGTTGTGGGTAATTTTTTTAGGGGGGAAGGGGCTGCATGTTGTCCCTCCTTTCTTGAATAGTTCTGTCTATCTGGTTATGTGGTGTTTGTTTACGTATATTTTTAATGTATTGTCTGCCTAGTATTTTACTCTCTTTTTTGTATTAAACAAGTTTTTAAAAAAAATTTAGAATTATTTGTTTATAATGATGTTTATATTGATCACAATTAGAAAATATGACGTAAGTCATAAGTAAGTAAGTGAAAAGTATGAGGATGAAAATGAAGTACATGTATTGCACTATGCACCGCTCAAATTCTGAGTCCGTTTTGGCCGACCGCCGACTTCCAATGTAGTAGCTCACAAAATAAGATGGGGGAAGGGATAATTAAATAATAGACAAGGAAAAGGGAATTATATTGGACACTGCCAACTGGGTTTCATGTGCCGTAATCAAAGATATAAGATTTATTCAATACTCAACGGGCCTGTAATATGTGAATTAATGTGCCTCGTATTTGCTATGTGGGAGCCTCCTGTGGGGGGCTTATTGCACACCGCGCCTCCTATAACATGACAAAGGGGTTGCAGCCGCTTGTAACGAGCGCCTCTAATGCACCCGGCTCTCCTCTGTGCTCTGGCCACGACTGCTCATGCAGCCTCCAGTGAATCCCTAGTTAGATTCAGTCAGCCTCCAGTAGCTCTGTCTGATCCCGGTCCCAGTGAAGGACCAGCGGTACCCAGATCGTGAGTCAGCCTCCCGATCCTGTCCCGATGGACATGCGTAGCCCAGATCCTGATAAGCCTCCTGTAGCTCCTGTGAATCCCGGTTATATCCAGCCAGCCTCCAGTATAGTAGCTCGCTGTGATCTCGATCCCAGTGAGGGACCAGCGGTACCCAGATCGTGAGTCAGCCTCCCGATCTTGTCCCGATGGACATGCGTAGCCCAGATCCGTGCACATCGCGACTGGAGTCCCGCTTCCGCAGTTCAGCTAACCAGCTATACTCACCAAGTCCACTTGCCCGTCGAGTCCCACCAGGGTAGAGAGCGCGTGCGATACGCTCGGCTTTTATAGCCGCGCCGCGGACGTAGCAGCGAGTCCTACATTGCGGACGTGGAAGAACCACGACTGTGCTGCGTGCTTTGCGCGCGGCGATAGCGCCCTCTTTTGACGCCTTTATACAGCGCAGAGCTGATTTCGCTACACAGCCTCCTTCTTCTTTGCTTAGCCGTCCCGGCTATATCAGCTTAACTTAAATTCAATGCAAGAAATCAGATATGCACCTCACACTTGGCCCAACTTTAATAAACATTACCGTTACAGAGTCATGGCGCCTCTTTAATAGCGCCTCATAAGGGGTGCCTACCATTAAGTAGACCTGCCTCTGTCGCCTCATAATTAAGAGCAACAGCACGTTTTAATAATTCACTTAACTTTACAATAACATAGGCAGGTCTTGTGCCTAAGTGTAAATTTAACTTTATTAAACTCTTATAAACTTTATAAACACCTTATAGCAAAACACTTCAAAACTTTTATGAATGTGAACAAACTCTTATTGAAACTTTAGTCAACCCTTTAAACTTGCTCGAACAATATCGAAACTTTTGGCTAACAATTAGGGCAAGCACGCAGGGCCTACACGACGAGGTCGTACACCCGTTCCTCCTCCTTCTCGCACAGTAGTACGCCCTTTTTGTAAGTAGTGGTGGTTACTGTTTCTTTAATCTGCCTGATCTTGCCCTCCTGCAGCTTTCCTAGGGGTTGCATGACGGTGCATTCGGGCTTGTCCTTGGCCTGAGCCTTCGGTGGCGCCTCCTCATCGTCGTCGCTGGAAATTGTCAAGTCTTCCTCCAGTTGGTCGAGACTAGCCTTGGAAAGTTGGGGCCGCTCTTCTTGTGGGATTAGGCTGCAAGAAGCAGCCGGCGACAGGCACGCATCATCCTCTGGGCCAGGGCGATGCGCGATGCTGAGGTCCATTGGTGCGTTGTCCTCCTGTTCCCAGCCTGTGGGTGTCTTCGGGGCTTTTGGGCTATTCTGAGGCGGTTCCCAGCCGGCCATCTCGTTTTTTAGGAGTTGTTTCGCCTCCAGCCACGATGTGGCATCCTCCAGGCTGCGCCTAACTTCAACTTTCCTGCAAGCGGCCTCCTGAGTCAGCCTCTTCCGGGGAGGCGGACTGTCGCCTCTCCTGCGACTACTCCTTCACCAACCTCCTTGGTCAATCGCACTTCCACCCATCGGCGGGGCGCCTCAGCTGTTGGCCTCTTCTGCTCAGGTACCGTTTCATCCTGGCTGCTGGTTGCCGCTCGTTCCCCCTGGTCCCTAGCTGCTCTCTCCTTCTCCGTCTCCAAGGCAATCCCATCCACCTCGTCGAATCTTTCCGGGTGTTCCTGCCGGTAGTGGCAGCGCAAGTTGTCCTTACGGACTGTCTTGAGGCCACAAACCAGGCGCCATGCGTATAGCTTCGGCCCGTGCTCTGTTGCCATGTGCCGCTGCAGGCTCTGCCTCTGCTGGTACTCGAACGGGCACTCCTTGCATTCGTACGGAGGCGGCCTCTTCTCCTTCTTCTTTTCCTTCTTGCCCTTCTCCTCCTTTCGCTTCTCCGTCTTTTCTCCCGTCTTGTCTTTCTCTTCCTTGCGCTTCTCTTCCTTTTCTCCCATCTTGTCTTTTCCCGGCATGTTTCCCTTCCTTATCTCACTCCTTCCTCCTCGTTAGCTATTACTGAATATTATCACCTAACAAGATAAAAGAAAAACCATCATTACTGTATAAGTATATCCATGGGGTTCTCCTACATCGTGTTTTTAGCGGAAGCGAATCGGGGGTCGCCTCTTCCTGGGGGGATTTCTCCTCGGTGTCATATCTGTTCCTGTGGCTTCGGTCGACTTTCCATGCTCAGTAGGTTGTTCACGTATGCAGCCTCCTTCTAAGGCTGCATCGTCCACATCTACTTCTGGGAGGCTTCCCCACGAACTGGAGCTTGTCCCTTCACGGGACTTCTCTCGAGGGGTTGTGCAGCCTCCTTCTAAGGATGCACTGTCCATTGACTCCATTCCCACTTCTAGAGGGCTTCCCCCCGATCTGGAGCTTGTCCCTGGATGGGACTTCTCTCGAGGGGGTGTGCAGCCTCCTTGTAAGGCTGCACTCCCTGGTGAAAATGCATGGCTTCGCCTCCTTGCAGCAGGCGACACGGTCCAGTCCACAAGTGGTTCGCCGAGGTAGGGCTTGAGGCGGTCAGCATGCACCACCTGTTTCTTCCCCCTTGGCGATCGTTGTATTATGAACGTGACATCGGACAACCGGTCAAGGATCAGAAAGGGTCCCTCCCAACAGGCATGAGTTTAGGAGTGACTCCTTTCTTTTTAGCAGGGTTGAATATGTATACAAACTTCCCAGCCTGATAGGCAGCCTCCTCGGTGCCCCTATCGTAAGTCGGCTTGTCATGAGCGACTTGCATTCTCCCTCTCAAATCTTCCGCATAGTCTGTGGTTGTCCCCTCATCTGCTGGCCTGGTCGTCTCTGTGGTGAGGTCGACCCGGAGCATCACCTTCCCGACTCAGCATCATGGCATTGGGTGTCTCTCCAGTCGACTCGTGAGGCATCATGCATTGGGTGTCTCTCCAGTCGACTCGTGAGGCACCGCCCGGTACGCAAATGTTGCGAAGGGCAACTGCTTGTCCCAGTCCTTTTGGTTGCGGCCCGGGTCCAACATCATGGAGATGATAGCCAAAAGGGTCCGATTCAACCTTTCTACCATCCTGTCGGACTTTGGGTTATATGCAGTGGTGCGGGTTTTTCTTATACCCAACACCGCACACATGCTAGTGGAAACATCCGACAAAAAGTTTCTACCTTGGTCAGAGTCCCAAAGCGGCATACAAAATTCGCCACAAAGGCGTCAGCAACCGTCGCTGCCTTTCCATCTGGGAGTGCGTAGGCCTCTACCCACTTTGTAAAGTAGTCCCCCACTACCAATATCCATTTTTTTCCCCCTTCGGTTTCGGGCAGTGTACCAATGAGGTCTAGGGCCACACGCTCCATTGGGCCTCCCACACGGTACTGTTGAAGTGATGCCCGCCTCTTGTTTTTTAGGAGGCGACTTGCGCCTCGCGCAAGGACTACACTTCCGGCACACGGCCCTCGCATCCACGGCCATACGCCACCAATAATACCGCGTTTTAGCCTTGGCGAGCGTGCGAGCGACTCCAAAGTGGCCGCCTGTTTCGCCTCCGTGCAGCTTCTCCAAGAGAGAGTTCCTGTACGTTTCCAGTAAAACCATGTGCCAATGGGTTCGCTTCCCGTCATTAGACTCCCACCGACGGTACAGCACGGTTTGCCGAACCTCCAGTTGTTCCCATAGAGTCCAGTATGCCTTTGTCGCGGGGCTTAGCGATGAAACCTCCTTGAACTCGGGACGAGTTCCAGCTTCTTTTGCTCGCAAGATGATTCCAATGGATTGATCTTCGTCTTGGGCTCGGTGCATATCCTCCAGTGTAATGTCGGGGTAGATTGTCACCATTCTTGATTCCTTCTTCTCGTCATCACTCCCCGTTATTTGGTCCACAATAAGCTCGTCAACGTCTGTCCGTCCGCACTGGCCGCAAGGCCTGCGGGAGAGCGCATCAGCATTCCCATGCTTTTGGCCAGGTCGATGTTCAATGACGTAGTCGTATTCCCCTATCGCCTCAAGCCATCTCGCTATTTGGCCTTCTGGGTTTTTGAAGTTGGCGAGCCATCGGAGCGAGGCGTGGTCAGTTCGAACAGTTATTCGCCTCCCATACAGGTACTGCCGGAAGTGCTTTAAGTAAGCCACAACGGCCAGCAGCTCCCGCTGGGTAGCGCAGTAGTTCCGCTCCGGCTTAGAGAGCGTCCTACTTGCATACGCAATAACTCTTTCCTCCCCTTGTTGAATCTGACAAAGGACTGCTCCGAGGCCTTCTCCACTCGCGTCAGTGTCCAACACGAACTCGCCATCTGGCTGTGGGTATGCCAGAATTGGAGCCTCTTGTAGCCGACTTTGGAGTTTGTGAAAAGCGGCATCGCATTCTTCATCCCTATTGAATTCCCTCGCTTTCTCCGTGAGGCGATGGAGTGGCCAAGCGATTTCGGCGAAGCCTCTTATAAACCTCCTGTAATACGAGGCAAGCCCCAGGAAGCTCCTTACTCCCTTCACGTCCGTCGGCGTTGGCCACGTTTGGACCGTCTGTATCTTATCGGGATCAGTGGACACTCCATTTTCCGATACCACATGTCCAAGGTACTTCACTACCTTTTGGAACAGGAAGCATTTTCCTGGCCTCAGCTTTATCCCCGCAGAGCAAAATCGCTGGAACACCTCCAGCAAGCGGCATATCTCCTCCGTCACACTCCTCCCATACACAATCACATTATCCAAATACACCAACAGTGTGTCCCATTGAAGTCCTGTTACCACACGCTCCATAAGCCTCTCGAAGGTCGCAGGGGCGTTGCACAGGCCGAAGGGCATCACCCTCCAGCTGTACAACCCCCCACGAACCACGAAAGCCGATTTTCGTTTCGCCTCCTCATCCAGTTCTATCTGCCAATAACCGGAGGCGAGGTCTAGGGTAGAAAACCACCTCGCTCCGGTTAGTGCATCAAGTGTGTCCTCTATGCGGGGAACCGGTTAGGCATCTTTTACTGTCACTGAGTTGAGTTTCCTATAGTCCACGCAAAAGCGGCGGCTGCCATCCTTCTTGCGCACTAGAACAATGTTGGAGGCCCACTGGCTGTCAGAGGGTTCGATGATCCCTCTCTCGAGTAGGTCCTCTACTTGTCTGGTGATCTCCTCCTGGTTGCAAGTGGGATGGCGCCTGGGTCTTTCCTTTATCGGCTTCGCATCTCCAGTGTCTATGTTGTGTTTTACCAAGTCGCAATTCCCAATGTCCCAGTCGTTCTCCGAGAAGACATCAGTGAAATCAGTGAGGAGGCTGGCTTAACCGCCTCGTGATGTTGGGGTTGTAAGTCACCTGTGCTTCGCTTCCACAGATCCAGGAGATGAGGGGGAACACTAACGGACTGTGCACCTCCTGCCGATGAGGCTTCAAGTGGCGCTTCATCTACATATTCCTCTTGAACCTGTGAGAGGTGACCTGCCATGGTCCCGCTACGAAGAAGGCATTCCCTTTGTCCGGGGTTGAGAACACGGAAGGCCATAGTTTCCTCCTTCCCCGTCTTCACAAGCATCCTTGCCAGAATTAATCCCTTATTTGCCAGCTCCTCATTATCCACCACTGGTTCGATGATTCCCAGTTCGTCAGCCTCCAATGTGTGAGTGGTTCTCCCTAGGACTAGTGCCTCATGGCCAGGAGGTATTACGGTATCTTCCGCTACAACCACCCGGGCGCAAATTGGTGTTCCCCAACGGGTGGTACACTGAAAGTGTTCCCCGTTGAGAATTAGTTCCCACCGTTTGAAGTCCAGTATCTTACTATGTACTAAGTGTCACGTGATCGTGACTGACTGCGTCTTCTGAATCTTCTCATGCATTATGCATCTCAGCGGGGCCATTTTGTTTATTTGAACAACTCAGTGATCTCTAGAAATCATCTGAAACCACAAGCCTGGAAAGACACAAAGTGCGACGCACTGTGCATGCAGTTCATTCATGTACAAAACATGTTGCTGGCACACCGGATGCGTGCGGCATGCCTCACACAATCCGTCTAAATTCTTGTTCTAAAAGTGTTAATTATTCAAGCATGGATTTGTAGAATAAATTGCAATTGATGATCAAGGAATTATTTGACTAATAACACCACTTCATGTTATAAAAGTGCCAGGAAAGTGCGTCATAATTCATAATACGTTAAAAAAAATGAAACTCCACCGACTAGTTTGTGGAGAAATGCTGTGTGGGGCCAGCGTGTGATAAGCCTGGTGTGTGGGTATCCTTTTGTGTTATGCAAACGCAGATCCACGGACGCCTTATGATAGTCGCCGCGACTATTGAAATTTGATAGTCGCTCAGGCTTAGTGTCAAAAATATCCGTCGTCTCAAGCTAAAATATCGTATGATGATCTCAGTCACTTTAAAGTTCTTTTATCAAAAAATCATGTGGGATAACAAAGAGTTCAACAAATTGAACATGTTTCTGAATAAATAATCTTCCTGAACTTATACTTTATCTTTTCATTTAATAAAACACAAACATTTAACGAGCCACCACAATTACAAACCTATTAATTTTTTTCTTAAAACGACTTTAAAAAAATGAGGTACAACTTTTTCCACTGCCACGATCAACGCTGTGAAGGTTTGTGGTAAAAGCTTTTTTACTCTAGAATCCCTATAGAAAAAAAAAACTTTTACCGGTATTTCACTCATTTTATAAAAACTGTTTGCAAGGCATTTATCATTTCAAAATTATATGTGCAACATCAAGCAGTTTTTTTCATTTAGATTGGCACTATGTACTGTTTTTATACATAACAGTTTTAATTTGAACAGAAATTCAGGAGAAAATATGACATTCTTACCAGCTTTGGCAGTGGGAGACGTGCAAACTGTTACGTTCCCTAATTTTCAGCCCGTGGTTTTGGATGTACATATACATTCTAGTATAACCCCAATAGAGCAAGAGTTCCATATCTGGCATGTCTGGCCACCCCACATATTCACTGCCAAACATTTCACCTCACCTTGTTCATTGAAGACACATTTTCAAACTTGCTTAAGGAAAACCGAATTCATCGGAGGAAAGGTTGTTTTAAGGCCATATTTTGGGTACACGTATCATTCACACAAGTTTCCTATCGTGTAGACAGCCAAATTCAGGAGTCAGGAAGTGTAGCAATGTGCACATGCAATGGTGGCCGAATATGGAACTGTCCATAAATGGTGAAAAAATATAGTTAATTAATGGGCAGTATAGAACTTGGCATTTCAGGACATTTTTCTGCAAGTGGCTCAAACTATAAATAATATAATGAAGGAACAACTGGCATTCTGATATGATTGTTAGTTTATTACAATGTACCGTAAGTCTCCTCCTGACTGACCTGACTACAGAAAGGATATGTTAGTCCTTAATAATACAGTTTTACTGTTAATAGTAATACCATCAGGCCCGGATTATCCAATAGGCACAGTAGGCACTGTGCCTTGGGCCTACCAAAAAATTGAGGGCCTACAAAAGAATTAAGGGCCTATGAAGTTACAGCTAATAGCAGCAACATGAAATTTGTGTCGGTGTTAGTGCAGAGTAGGGCCTACAGAACAGAGGTGCATAGGGACTATGGAGCACTTAATACGGCCCTGAATACCATTTTCATCACAAGTTATTGCATGGCGTGTTAATTGAATTTTTATACACTTTGATTCAGTTTTATACCAGCATGTAACTTTTGTTCTTATGTGACCATCAATTGAACAGTTCTTGTAATAATCCATAATCCTTGTTTCTTACCTAAGTTACAGATTTAATGATAGAATATCAATGAACAAATAGGGCCTTCTTTTTACTTGCATTCTGTATTCATCCAGCAAAATGTGGATCCGATTTTCGTATTTGTTTCGTGCACACAATAAGATTTACAAAATTCATTTTTCAAAGCCAGGTGTTCAAATGAATACGCACAAAATGTGACTGTTCATAGTATTGTGCATGTTCTGTGTCTGTTTCAAATTACAGTAAAAGGAAACTACTAGACATAGTTTATATTTTAACTAAATTTATTTCCTAGCTTTTGATTTACACATTTTTATTACATTGGCTGTTTAATTTTTAAGTTTAATTTTTAATTCCTTTTTGTATTCTTTTGTGGTTTTTATTCTTTGGAAGTATGTTTTATTTCATTTTTACTATATTCTACCCCAATATTTTTATTGCACCACCCAATTTTAGTTGATTTTAATATTTAAACGCGATTGTGGATTTTATATGGGTTATATAACCTTTTTCAAAACCCGCGACAGAAATGTCAAAGTAAATAAATAAGATATAGAATATAATTTGCTTTTTGCTTTGTACTTCAACAGGTGATACAGTACACCTGACAGTGGTCACGCCAACACCTTATGGGGCGGGGTCTTCACAGTCCTCAGCAAGCATCAGCTGTTTCCGTAGCAATCCTGATAATGACGTTACACTGAACTTCAGCAGACCATTCCAGATAGGTCTGCCAGGATCTACCATACAAACATCTACTACCCTCCCTACTGGCAGTAGTCAATCAGTGAATGGACGAATAGTCACCCAGAATCTGACCACCAGTAATGATGCCACTGGGTTGTTTTATTGTGAAGGTTCCAATAGCGACTTAACAACCAGAGTATACAGCATCATCCACAGTGTGAATAGTAAGTGCATATTTTTTTACAGGGCAAGACCAAGTCTCAAGGAATTCCCTAGTTACCTGACGTATTAGTGATTTCTTGGAATTTAAGACAAATTGAAAATGTGTTGCAAACTTGCAAACAGCGGACTAAGAATGCATTTGAACTATAAACTGTCAAAGAAGTTTTGAATATAGAGTATTGTGGCGGTTTTCCCTCCCCTGTTTCATTGGGACTATTTAGCCCAGAAACCGCGTCGTGCGCAAGTACAGCCACAGACCGGATCCGTTTGGGTGGAAATTTACCATTCGTTACACAGAGAGCAAGGACTCCTGATAAACGGCACACCACAGAGGATTGTTCTATTTCTAGTTTATGGCTAGCTAATTAATTTGACTCCACTTCCACATCCGCTTTGAGCGAAAATTACATCATCTCACTAACTACAAAACATGACACATCAACAGTAACTCTAAACTCAGGTTACACTGACAGTGCATTGTATTAAATCGAGGTGCATTGGTTGCATACACAACATCGCACCCACATTATTTATCCCCCCCCCCCCCAGCACCTGTTCGACTATTGCTACACATCACTGTACTCTATGTTTCCTCTACTCTATCTGTATACAACACCTGACTCCTCAACAACCCGCCTCCTCAACTACAGTATCCCCTGACCACTGGCGGGAATGGGCTCTGCCTTTTATACCCAGTCTCAGTTTCTGTTATTTTCGAATAAGCTACCAGTCAGCCGGTACTTGAACAAGGCAATATGGACTCAAACCCAACCCCTGTTTTGAAAGTCCAAAGAGGCATTAAATGTGATTATCGAATCGGTGATACACTTTTGCAATCGGTGATGCATATTCACGATCGGTGATGGACTTTCGCGTTCGGTGATGGACTTTTACTGGTGATACATATTCACGATCGGTGATGGACTTTCGTGATCGGTGATGGACTTTTACTGGTGATGCATATTCACAAGTGGCGATGGACTTTCGCGATCGGTGATGGACTTTTACTGGTGATGCATATTCACGATCGGTGATGGACTTTCGCGATCGGTGATGGACTTTTACTGGTGATGCATATTCACGAGTGGCGATTGACTTTCGCAATCGGTGATGGACTTTTGCGACCGATGATCAACGACCCATCACCAATTGCAAAATCCATCACCGATCGCCAAAGTGCATCAGTTATTGAACATGCATATCGCGAAGTAAAGGGGCGCGAAGTAATATTGTTTGAAAAATGCCCACCCTCGAAAAATGATAAATCGTGAATATGCTGGAAAAATCCAGATATTTCGGGGAGAAAATATGTTTTGCCCCTCTGCAAAAAAATTCTGGCGACGCACAAATCGTTGTGTTTTATAGCCACATTATCAATGATAGGAAAAACCGGTCGAATTATCGGTTGTATGGTTATATTAATAACGGCAACACCAAACCGTCGTGGGCAACACCGGAGACTCAAAGCCACGACATACACAATATGCTTGACAATAAGTGAAATACATGAACATGAGATATGTGGCAATAATAACAACAAATGAAAATTATACTTGAATTACAAAAAAAATTACTTCCCACATCATAGCCTCGTGACACTTGAGAGCGCTACGGCAAGTATCAAATGTACCTAACAAAATAGAAAAACAAGGGATTGAATGGTTTCATTTGCCCCACAAATATGAGGAGCAGGATGTCTGTATCCTAAAAATTGTGAACATTTTAATCCTTGTAATTTATATAGTCTCTTGAAACCTTGGAGCACTTTAACTGGCGGATGTAAGGGGTGGTGGTGGAAAAACATTTCAAGGAAAGTTCCTCTGTGTACTGTCCATCATGTGCTCGCTTAAGTGTGCTTAAGTGACCAGAGGCCCCCACGTATCTATACCAAGATCGGCTATTAGATGGATTTATGATGATGATGATGATGATGTGATTGCATTCCTGTGCCCCCTGGATGCCTGCTCAGACCCCTCAATAACTCCTCCATATATGCTGTCTCCAATGACCCACATATCAATCATCATATTATGCAAAAACCTTTTATCACGTATCGGTAAAAAATACTCGGACTCAAATTTAAGGACATGAGAAACACATTGCTGAGATGATTGGTAAAGCTAATAGAAAATTATTCATGTTCAGGGAACTGAAAGAAACTGGTTTTACTCAAAGAACTTGTTACCCTATATGTTAGACCCGTCCTGGAAAACGCATCGCCGGTTTGGCACTCAAGCATTACACTCAAATAGACCAATCTAATTTAGTCGATCCAAAAGAGTTTGCCGTATTATTCTATCTCTGGATCACCTTTATGATAGAAGAACCACTCTGTGTACAAACTTTGCTCTAGGTGCTTTTAAATCAGGCAAATTTAATGAGTGGTTCCCGCAATCAAAAAGTTGGCACACACTATGAATCTTAGATCGAGTAGAACACTCAAGGAGTATCCCAGTTCATCCAAGAGATTTCAAAATAGCCCGGACACATCAATAGTTCAACATAGGATTTTCAAATGTATACAATTTTAATTGCTATTATCCGAGTGTATATGTTTTTTGAGAATAATGGATTGTTGTTGTGCGTTTTGTATGTGTTTCGATTTCTCTTGAAATGTGTTTATTTTTAATTCATTTCAATTTTTACTGTAAATCACTGTGCAATTCAGCTTCTGAGCTGCTTGATGGTGATAATCAACCCAAATAATAATAATCTTAATAACAATGATAAAAAAATAATAACTTATAACCCATAATTGGCTTTGGGGAACATTCCCATAAACTAGTGCACACAATTTTTCCCCCAACTTTAATGACCCGTAACTCCAATTTTACCTTATTTCGCCAAGTAATTTTTACTAATTCGACCACAACACAAGAAACTCAAAGCCACGGCATACACAATATGCTTGACAATAAATGAAATACATGTAGGCCTATATGAAAATGAGATATATGTGGCAATAAATGACAACACATGCAAATTAAACTTGAATAACAAAAAATAGCTTCCCACAGATGTACATTCAGTCAGGAAAACATCATAGCCTCGTGACACAGTGAGATCGCTACGGCAAGTATCAAATTAGCCTAACAAAATAGAAAAACAAGGGATTGAATGGTTTCATTTGCCCCATAAATATGAGGAGCAGGCTGTCTGTATCCTAAAAATTGCGAACATTTTAATCCTTGTAATTTATATAGTCTCTTGAAACCTTGGAGCACTATAACTGGCGGATGTAAGGGGTGGTGGTGGAAAAACATTTGCAAGGAAAGTTCCTCAGTGTACTGTCCATCATGTGCTCGCTTAAGTGTGCTTAAGTGACCAGAGGCCCCCACATATCTTTACCAAGATTGGCTATTAGATGGATATATGATGATGATGATGATGATGATGATGATGATGATGATGATGATGTGATTGCATTCCTGTGCCCCCTGGATGCCTGGTCAGGCCCCCCAATAACCCCACCATATGCTGTCTCCGATGGCCCACCCATCAATCATCAGATGCAAAAAACTTTTTACCATTTATTGGATAAAAACAAATCATTGTGTTTATGCCACATCCACAGAGGAGTGTTTTTATTCCGGATACCATCGCCAAAGCCCAAAGCCACAGCAGCATACACTTATAACAAACATTTTAAGCACATTATTTTTTTTTTAAATGCAGTTCACATATGAGAAAGACACTTCCAAACACAAAACACGGTAAACAAATATCACCGTCAGGGGCAACACGAGATTCCCTAAGCCACAGCGGTATGCACGTTCAATAACTGATGCACTTTGGCGATTGGTGATGGATTTTGCAATCGGTGATGGGTCGTTGATCATCGGTCGCAAAAGTCCATCACCGATTGCATAAGACCATTACCGATTGCAAAGTTGATCACCGGTCGCGAAAGTCCATCACCGATCGTTAATATGCATCGCCAGTAAAAATCCATCACCGATCGCGAAAGTCCATCGCCACTCGTGAATATGCATCACCAGTAAAAGTCCATCACCGATTGCGAAAGTTCATCACCGATCGTGAAAATGCATCACCAGTAAAAGTCCATCACCGATCGTGAATATGCATCACCAGTAAAAGTCCATCACCGATCGCGAAAGTCCATCACCGATCGTGAATATGCATCACCAGTAAAAGTCCATCACCGATCGCGAAAGTCCATCACCGATCGTGAATATGCATCACCGATTGCAAAATGGTATCACCGATTCGATGATCACATTAAATGCCTGTTTGGCGTTCCATACTACAAACAGAATTTGATCACAAAACAATGGTCTCACTATAGCCATTGTTTTCCATTCCGCTAAGATTAATTAAATCCGTAGCAGTTGCCAAAAGTGCTCAATACACTACATGTGCCTGTTTTCCCCTATCTAGTTAAGGGTTTTTTCACAGACCATTTTACGCTGTCCACAACATCATCTCAAAACACCCTGTCAGCCTGAGCTACACATGTATTTCTTAACTTATTCCATATGCTTGGTGCGCTTGACGTCCCTTGGCTTTCCCAACTTCCAGTTCCAAACCACCAGACTATTTAGTTACGAGAATTTCCCAAACACCAGTTGTATACACATTGAACCATTACCATGCGCTCACCCTGCCCTTTCTCTCTGGTTCAAAGATCTGGACCTATTTTCCCTATGATATCAACGTCCAAAGATGTTTTAAAGTATGTACTTGTATTTGTAGATCAAGTAAGACTTGAAGGTTTGCCCCGTGGAAAGTTAACATGAGGTTTTCAATAGCACCATATTTTAATTTATTTTGTATATTATGTATGGTTTTAAAAAAGAACCGGTTTGGTAAGTTGACTTTTGAGATTTGAATTTTCCAATGAAGACGTGTGAAATTCATATTTAACATTGTATTCCTTTCTTTTGTAGGGAGGTTTGAGCCTGTTGATGGCCTGGTAACGAAAACGATCAACAAAGGAGAGAATGTGACTCTCTCAGTCATCAAGGCTAATTCCGGTGGCTTTCCTCTGTGGCGTCGTACAAGAAATGGAACTGTTAATGCAAACTTGACTAATTCCAATCAGGCTAGTTTCACAGTGCCCTCTACTGATGCTGATGATGGGGATCTATATACTGTCATCGGATCTGCTGTTACTCTCACTGACAATCATTTCAGTATGATCAGACTCATAGTCAGAGGTACAGTTTGTCATGCTGCATTTTTTGTGTCTCTGTACAAACTAGTTTGTTGATTTTAGTGACAAAATATTTTTGCACAACGAGAGATATGCAAAACTGTTCATTCATAGCAGTGTACTTCACAGGCTTTCCAAACAGTTTAAGAACCTCTACATTAGTAATTTCATGCTCCATTTGGAATTTACATTTCAGCCAGGGTGAACACCAGTTTTATGTTATAAAATAATTTACAGATATCTGTGCAATAAATTCATTTTGAATAACTCATACCTTCAAAAGTTAAACATGAATATTAAAGCCTCTTGCATTTCATTCCATGTAGACTGTGATGCTGGTAAGTGGAATCTGACTGACTGTGAAGGGGTGTGTGATCTGTGTTACAATGGAGGAGTGTGTGATGATGAGACAGGAGATTGCATCTGCCCACCAGGATTTAGTGGACCAAACTGCCTCACAGGTAAGCTCATTGCCTGGTCTGTCTGTCTGTCGGGCGGGTTGTCGGTCTGAGTGTGTGATCTGTGCTACAATGGAGGAGTGTGTGATGATTAGACAGGAGATTGCATCTGCCCACCAGGATTCAGTGGACCAAACTGCCTCACAGGTAAGCTCATTGCCTGGTCTGTCTGTCTGTCGGGTGGGCTGTCGGTCTGAGTGTGTGATCTGTGCTACTATGGAGGAGTGTGTGAGGATGAGACAGGAGATTGCATCTGCCCACCAGGATTCAGTGGACCAAACTGCCTCACAGGTAAGCTCATTGCCTGGTCTGTCTGTTTGTCGGGTGGGCTGTCGGTCTGAGTGTGTAATCTGTGCTACAATGGAGGAGTGTGCGATGATGAGACAGGAGATTGCATCTGCCCACCAGGATTCATGGGACCAAACTGCCTCACAGGTAAGCTCATTGCCTGGTCTGTCTGTCTGTCTGTCGGGTGGGCTGTTGGTCTGAGTGTGTAATCTGTGCTACAATGGGGGAGTGTGTGAGGATGAGACAGGAGATTGCCTCTCGATTTTTGTTTACCTGTGAAAACAATCACAATAACAGACGATTTCCTACACTTTATCTTTTAGTCAAAGTACTTTTTCGGCATTATGTATATGTATTTCTTGTATAATGCTTGAATAATGTCTTTTTTGGGGACCAAACCAACCTTTTGATGATCACTTTCTACAGCATGTGGTATGCACATATTTGGCTGGAGTTGTGAGTTTCCGTGTGGACCTACCGGTAGAAATGTGATTCAGAGTTGTACAGGGAGCCAGTTTGGCCTGCCAGACCCTTACGGGAACAGCTGCATCTCAGGATATAGAGGCACCTACTGCAACATTCGTAAGTAAAGAAGAAGCTTTGCTTGCATTCCTCACATTCAGATTATTGTGGTAATCTCTCGCACCTTTGCTTTTTGATTGACTTGAAACTTTTTCTCTTTTTTTCTGTTTTTAAAAATTAAGCCTGTACTTTAGGAACATTTGGTGCTGGTTGTAGCCAGTCATGTCATTGTCAATCAGGAATCTGCAATGTGTACACCGGTGCATGTACAGATAACTCTGGCTGTGCATCAGGCTGGTCTGGAACAAACTGTCAAAGTAAGTAGTGTAGCAGTGTCATGCTGTATACAATCTCATCATCTACTATCTTTAAACTAAAAAAAATAATGCGGCTTGAGGTTGCAAACTTAACAAGTTCCTCCTCTGAGGCAAAATGACAGAGGTACAAGAAACAAACATGTAGGGACTCACAAACATGCAGGTAGGGAGGAGGAACACAAAAGGGGTTAATTATGCAGGGGTACGCTGGTGAAGGTGAAGATCACTGAGGATGGAGTGGAGTAACTAACAAAGGACGGATTGAATAGGGGACAGACCAGGAGGGATAAATGAGGGGACAGACCAATGTAGGCAAAGATGAAAGGGAAGGAGTGGAAATCCGAACAATAGAGAGTGATGGTGGGAAAGAGACAAAGGGGGTGGGGGTTCACAAGGAGAAAGAAGTGCAAACATGTGAAAGGGGTAAAATATGGTTTTAAAGGGGAGGGGGAGAGCAGATGGATGAGACACGGGGTAATATATTCTAGATATGTATATTTCAGGTCAATCCAGTCAGAATGCAGTTTGCACTAGTCCTATTCATTTTCATATGATGTCTTGGTTGACATGAAAAACATGTACATCTCATACAAGTTGAAAATACATACATGTAAAAATGTATGTATTTTCAACTTGTATGAGATGTACATGTTTTTCAGTTACACTTTTAGGGCCAATGATTTTTCGCCATTGCGGAAAACAGACAGAATTCGCAGTATCTGCTCCTCGAAATGGAAAACGGAAATTGAATCTGAAGAAAATAACTGCAATTTTACTGATAAAACAAACATAATTTCGTAAATTTTATTGAGTCCAAAACGAATTGTTGATTATTGATTGAAAAGACTAGCCATATAACAAATGAGCGTTGTTTAGATCACAATGTTGGGGGAGGGGGATGAAAACGTTCAAGATTAGAGCAGTAAACCTTGCGAGATCATTTCCGTAGTGACATTACCATAGTGACAGACACGACGTATGCCATAGCTGTCGGTCAGCACATGGGTGAAAATCATCACACTCAAGGCACACTCTCGCAGGTCTCTTTTGCTCCATCAGCAGGTTTATTTTTCTCCGTTCAATTATCAACCATAAGTTTACATTTCGCCCAAATGCATGTTGCGCTTATTTACTTATCCAGATCCACAAATCTACCGTAAACTATCCTATTTTGTCGCCTAACGTAAGAGTGCAAACGAAATGGCAGACATGAATTTCGCTTCGGCCAGCTGATGTGTCTGACATCTCAGCGTATACAGCTATTGCGTGTTTCTTATATAGTCGAGCGGCAAAACTTTGAAAAGAAGCTTATTTTAGGAGTTTAAATGCCCCACCCTACACACACCTACACCATACATCATTAGAAAGCTTAATATGCCTTCTTTCAGATTAGGCATGATGTGGAGCTTGAAAATTGGGAGAAATGTGGTTTTTGGATTCATTTGGGTCTAAAAGTCACATTTTTGGTCAAAAACACGATTTTTAAAATTTGGTATTTTTGATATCTATGGAACCAGCCTCAACCATTGAGGTACGTTTGAGACCAAAATGACGTTCTGTAAAATCATGATAACCATCTTAAGATTACAAAATGTACATTATTATTCATGTTTTTAGTCTTATTTTGGGTCAAAATATAATTTTAAAGATTTTGGTATTTTTTATGTCTGTAAGACCAGCCTCATCTATGGAGGAAATTTTATACCGAATTGATGTTCCATAATTCACAATTACCATATTAAGATTGCAAAATGTACAGTAACTATAGGCAGTATTGAGTGGAATTGTGCAGTTGTCTGACAATTGTGTTTCTGAAAGCACCATGAAGGTAAACTCATGCCCGTTTGGATACATTATGAATGTGAAAATAGTAGATAAATCGTTCATATTCATAATAATGGTACGAACTGTGAAGCTGCAAAGTTGGCCGAATGTATTATTGGGCTTTTTTTGTCCAAAATATTTATTTTTTGTCCGAAATATAATTTTTAAGGTATTTTTGTATACCCTCATCCATGAGGGCGAGTTTTAGATCGAATTGAGGCTCTATTAATTCACAATTACCATTTTAGGATAATAGTAGGCCAGCCAAATGCAGGAAACTTCTCTTGAAAAACATTCACTGCATTTTGGGGTTATAGCTGGCATCCATGCTAGATCAGTTCTTTGAACCATATCAACCAATATGTGGGTGGATGCCACCCATATGCCACCCATAATTTTGACCCAAATATACAAAATTTGCATAAATTGTTAATCCCTGCCGTGTTATATATTAATTCTCATATTTGGGTATATTCTTTCTTTATTTATTTTTTAAAATTTATTTTGGTGATTCTGATTACACTTCTTTACTTGAATAACATTTTCTAAGAATATAAGTGACTGAATAATTGTGTGGACATAGTAACGATCCAAAATAGCTATTATTACACCCTAAAGTTGCACTCCTTTACAGTGTACCTTGTCGCGAGATATATTCAAGTATTCTTGCCAAACCTCAGTATGGATGAGCTTCAAATTCACCAAGTTGCTTTATACTGGCACAGTTACCCTATAAAAAAATTTGTGGAATGTCCTGTGACCAATGAAAACGTTGTAATATTTAGCCCAGCAAACAAAAATGGGGAAAACGATGTGTCTGTTAATTAGCCTATTAGTGTAGGGTTGCTTAGCGTGGGAGACTTGAATAATTTCATGGACATCCCCCCCCCCCAAAAAAAGTGCAGTAATTATGGCATTGTCAAAATGGTTTCTTTACATTTTTTTTGGGGGGGGGGATTTCTATGAAATTATTCGCGTCTCACACATTAGGCAACCCTTCGCCTAGTAGTAATAAAAGCCTAGTTTATGGACAGCAGCCAGCTCGTTTTTCCCCGTTCATGTTTGCTGAGCTAAATATCACAATGTTGTCATCGTTCCCAACATGATTTTCCATAATAGTGGGGCTGTTAAGGTCAAATATATGATACAATTGTGCACTTTGTGACTAAAGCATGAAACTTCGCATGTTGGTTCTTCATGCCATGGAGAACATTTTCAGATGTGGAGACATTTCATATTTGACCTCTGGTGACCTTTGAGAGGACAATGACCTTTACATACACTATTTATAATTGTTCTTGAAACACCACTTTCATATGACCCCAGTCTATGTCATAGGTCTTCAGGCAATGGAAATAATGATCAGATGTGAAAAAAATCATACTTGAACTCTGGTAACCTTTTTGAGGTCTTTTCAAGACCCAACTCTAAAAGTTAAGTGTCCATGCTATGAAAAGCATTTTCATACAAAGGGCATTTCATAACTGACATTCAAGAGGTCAATGAACTTTGTATGCCCTATATATAGATATTTATAAGATTTACTTTTCAAAACCCCAGTGTTTTATGACCCAAGTCTAGAAGTAGGCTCTTTGTGACATGAACAGAATTTTCAGATGTGTGAACTTTCATATTTGACCCCTGGTGACCTTTAAGAGGTCAGTAAACTTTCTTACCCTATTTGCCGCTATTTATCATATTTTATTATTCCAAATGCCCCTTTTTCATGACCCAAGTCGAAATAGTTCAAAACAAGTGTACAATGTATTTTAAGTATTATTCTACAGCATGTCATGAATTCAGACCCCAACAACAACTTTGTTATGACCTCTGATCTCCATTTCCCTTTTTGAGGGGTAGACAGGAGCGCAACAGAATGCACGAGGTACATTGGAAAATAATCACACTCTAACAGTGACCAGTGGGCTTGGTAAAAAGGTTAAAAATGTGGTGACCCAAATCCATCTAGATACCACAGAGTGTAATAAGTACACAAGAGTGACTATTGTTAGACATCGTACATTACATTGTAAAGAAAGTCCAACAGTCTTCTATCCCAGTCGCAACATGTTGCGTCTGCCAATTGAAAAAGGGAAGTGGAGGTCAGATGTCACCCCAAAGTTTTGTGGGATTTAAATTCGTTACATGACTGTATAATAATAGGTGCAATACCTTTCTTTTGCATTATTGAGGCTTGGGTCATGAAAAAAAGGCATTTGACGAATAAATATGAAAAATAGCGAAAAATAAGGTATATAAAGTTCATTGACCTATTAAAGGGTACCGAAGGTCAGATATGATGTCCCCATATCTGAAATTTCTTTTCATGTCTCAAAGAGCCAGCTTTTAGACTTGGGTCATGAAATTGGGTTTTGAATAATAAATCTCTATAAATTGGGCATACAAAGTTCATTGACCTCGTAAAGGTCACCAGAGGTCAGATGTGAATTGCCCTACATATGAAAAAAAAATTATAGCATGAACACCTAACATTTTAAACTTGTTGTTGAAAAAGTTGGAGTTTAAAAAAGAGTAAATCATAATAATGATAAATATGTATACAAGGTCATTGACCTCTCAAAGGTCACCAGAGGTCAAATATGAAATGTCTCCACATCTGAAAATTTTCTTCATGGCATGAAATTAAAACCAACATGTGAAGTTTCATGCTTTATTCACAAAGTGCACCATTGGATCACTCAACAGCCCCACTATAAGGTTTTCATAGGGTTAAAGTGCCAGTAAGCAACTTTGTGAATTTGAATGTCATCAATACTGAGATTTGGCAAGATTACTTGATGATTCCT